CTCGTAGGATTCACAATTTTTTTAATAGATGTTTTTTCGAAATTGATTTGCACGCGATCTATGCGTCGCAAAACTACGTTCGTAGTACCAAATGAAAGATAAAAGATTAAATTTTCATTTAAGAAAAAAAATTTGATTGAAAAAATCAAAATCGAATATTTTTTCAGCGTTTTATTTAATCATTCGCGGCCTTAAATTTTCGATAGGAAGCCCTGTAACTTTTTCAAAAGTGCGTATGGGCAGCTAATAATTAACACTTTTTATCTATTCGACGAGCTCTTTCGAATGAGCTATAGAACATAAAAATCGGTGAGTACCACTTCGCGTGGTTCCCTTGTGAGTAAAGAGTTAAGAGGGGACCAGCTTTTTGCCACCACTTTTTTAGCTGTCGATACTTTGGTTTATCACTTTAAGATCAGTCAACTCTCAATGATTTTCATTTCTCTAATGATTTAACTCGACATCCAAGTGACCATTTTATATCAATCTTGGAAAACTTTACTATCGCTGATTAATTAACCAGAAAGCAGCCTTTATTAAAATTAGTCTTGGATTGGCTGATTTGGTTGGAAACACAAAACCACTTTCACTTAATTTAAGCTCATTTGAATGTCCAAAAAAGAAGAGGATCAACCTCGATGTCCAACGTTAATGATGAGTCTTCTAATTCATTCCATCATAACCATTGATTGAGACCAGAATCACTCCCAATGATTTCCTCTGGGATAAGTTTATCTCATTTAATTTCCTTTTCTCCAAATGCGATATCTCCATGCATCTTGCAACTTGTTAATCATGTCTCTTGCAAAGATCAATTTATTTGAACAAAAAATTTTATTTTTAATTAGTCTTTTGCATACATCGATCAAATCCCTTTGAACTGGACAGAGAAAGGTCATTATATAGAGTAAATTAGGGTCCATTAGCTGAACTTATATCATCTAAATCTTAAATCGCCGATCGTCGATACTTTTAGATCGGAAAATAAGTCGAAAATTGTACACTCGGATCAATTATTTTAACCCATGTAGGTGGCCTATTAGGTACAGATATCAATGTATCAACTTTTTTGACTGCATTGTTTATATTGATACGTTGGATTGTACTGTTTGCCTTATCAGTGAAGTACAAATAATTTGAAAATATGTCCATTGATATAAGTTCATCTATGAAGGGCAAAGATTCATACAAAGTGATACGATTGGTTCCATCATATCCGACCGATTCCAATGTACCATATAAACCATCAATCCAATAGACTTTGGTGTTTTTAGCATCAATGGCTAAACCAACTGGACGCAAGATGTTCGTTTCAACTATTTTTTGGGCTCTAGGTTCACCACTTATATCGATTCGCTCGATGTACACAGGAAAATCAAAAGGTCTGTTTGGATCGGCACCAATATTTGTCCAAAAGATGAAACGTTTCTTGACATCGATAGTGATAGATCCAGGTCTATCAAAAGAAGGATCCAAAGTACGGTAAAGTTTAGTTTTCTGTTCAATTGGAATAAGAAAAATAGTTGAATTAAATGTCTTAAAGAACCAAATTAACTGCTCGTTTTAATGAATAAAACATACATCCATCACAACGAAAAATTTCCGAATTTTTTTTGATCTGATTCCATAATCATCAATCCAGATTGAAGCGACGTTCATCCAATCATAAACAAATCCATGAATTTTATGTGTCCCATTAACAGCCACTCGACGCTCATGGATTTCAATATTACCAATTTTGCTTGAGTCTTTAAATAAGTAGTTTTAGCTCAACTCAAATTTCAACTTTAATTCAATTTTCTTATATCAAGTTAAAGGTTACTTACTTTGCCAAAATTTTGCGATAAATATCTTGTTTTCACTCGTATCTAACCAAATCACAGCATCGTCGACATTTTCGTAATCAAAAGCTTTTATTCCAGTCTGATTTAGTTGAAGTGTCTTGTTTAAATGTATTTTTGAACGATCCTCTGGTAAACTAGTCTCATACAAGGCATTCAATGTGGAAAAGACGACCAAAGGTACATTTCCTTTGTGATGTCTACATGCTACATTTCTAGGATCCCATTCAGTACATTGAGGTGGACTTGGGTTACGTTTGTATGACCTAGGACATTCATCATTCACGCAAATTAAATCTGGACTAATAGTTTGAGTTGCACTTTCACATTCAAACTCATCTGATCCATCATCACAATCATTGATTCCATCACAAACCAAATGCGGTTTAATACACAACCTTTTGGAGTGGCAACTAAACTCACTGACATCACAGTTAACAGTTGGCCAAACATTCTGTACTGATGACCAACCGGAGGCATAGTTTGGAGCAATTCCATCATCTACAGTTCTCAGACAATTATCCTCTGGTGTCTTGAGAGCGTCGTTATAGACTGGCAAAGTATCAAATTCAGTAAGCCGTGAAGATCTTTCATGAGGATACTGGACAGCTTTTTGTGAGCTTTTAGCTGACGTCTCACGAAGCAAAGTTGACTGGAACTTCTCTCGTGACGGCTTATTGGTATCATCTCGAGGAAGAAACTCTCTAGCAGCATCTTCAAATATCTCTTCTGGTGGCTCTTGGTGGTCTTTAGAAACTCTAGCCCTGACACTAGGCTCCCAATGCCCAAAACCATGAGAATAATTGACACATGAAATAACGATCAAAAATGTTAATAAACAATGATTTATGGTGTCACATGATGAATAACGTTTCCATGATTTGCTTTCTCCTTTCATGGTGATTGATGTTATTAGACACTATTAAATATTGATTTGTCGTTGAAAAGCTACAGATTTTGTATTTTAAGCTCAATTCAGCTTTTTTATCACCAAATGAATAAGATTGTATTGAAAGAGTTTTCAAGAATAATCTGCAACCATTTGAAATAAATGCTTCGATGTGAGTGTTTATCAACTTTGATTGGTAAGCTTACATTAATCAGTTTGTTTGGAGCCCTCAATTATCTAATGACTGTAATATGGAAACTAATGTCAGCATTTTGTATTCCTCCTTCAGATAGTCCTTCGTTTATCTATCGTCTATCTTATCGTCGATCTATGTTTTATCATTAAACGGAAGGTTCTACATGCAATTTCATTTTTATATTGTGTATAAAATCAATGATATACACAATGATTAAAAAACTTTGTTCCTCTGTTCATAGATGACACTAGCTCTTCATACAAAATCTTGACTCTCTGACTTTTTCAGTTCAATCAAATAAGGTAGTGCAACCAAAAATTGACACATTCATATTTAACAGTTCAAATGAAATTTTAGACAGAATGTCTAGACATAAAGGCACCATTTTTTCAGGTATCGAGTCGGCAACCTAACACAAGCTAAATATGAAATTTGAAGTCAATCGGTCAAACATGGGTCAAATATGTCTTCATTAAGTGAACCATCAAGAGAACAAAATGAAGCAAAAATTGAAGACCAAACAGCTAGTTGGAAAAAAATCCCATAGAAAATAATGTTAAATATCAAAACTTGAAAAATTTGACAAAGATCGCTTTCTTTGATTTTTTTCATGAAATAGAATGAACATAGCAACAAAAGCTGGTTATTGTATATTATTAGTACTTAATCAATGAAAATTAAAAAAAAATAATTCTCTAACTAATCTGATTGTTGAATAATTAGCAAAACAATTTATGTGTCAATTTCTAGTTGCACTACCAGTCATTAATTAATAACCTTAAACTTTGATTCAATTTTTAAGTCAAACTCATTTATTTGTAATGTTTTAAATTACAACCCTGTCAAGTCAACGACTGCTTTATATCTGTTAATGTACAGTAAAAGTAAATTCAAATTGTGATTTAGTTTACATATAATAATATTTTATTGCTTATTAAAATATGTTTTGTGTATAATTTCAAAAAGCAACATTCATCAAAAAACATGAAAAAGTTGGTCAAAAAGAGGTAAATTTTTATTCTAATGGTTTGTAAGGTTAAAGGATTACAGTGATAATAACATCAGTTAACTAGTTTACGATTTTGGTCCAATCTCATCACTTTGATCTTTACAGTCAAACCCTTGATCACAACGGAATTACTTATCAATGCAAGTACCATCGTCACACCTAAAGTCCTTTTCTGAACATTCATGACCACATTCTTTTTCGTCTGATCCATCAGGACAATCTGTAATATCATTACATTTTTACATTACATGATTTATCGATGAAACTTGGAAGGTGGACATGTGATTTTACAGTTTACTTCGTCCGATTTGTCACTGCAATCATCTTCTGAATCACAAAGCCAATTTTTGGGAATACATTTACCATTTGTACATTTAAATAACTTTTTATCACATTCATGATGCAAACATTTTTTATCGGAACCATCTTTACAATCAGATGTTCCATCACATTTCTATGAAACTGAAATACAAGAATTCCCCCAACATTGACATAGGGTTAACTATTTTAATCCATGTAAGTTGACCATTAGGTACCGATATCAATGTATCAACTTTACTGACTGCACTGTTTATATTGATTCGATGGATTTTACCGTTTTCCTTATCAGTGAAGTACAAATAATTTGAAAATATGTCCATTGATATGCGTGCACCCATGAAGGGAAAAGATTTATACAAAATGATACGATTGGTTCCATCATATCCGGCCGATTCCATCGTACCAAATACACTATCCAACCAATAGACTTTTTTTTGTCTAGTGTCGAGGGCTAAGCCAACTGGATCAAAGATGTTCGTTTCAACAATTTTTTGGGTTTTCGGTTCACCACTTATATCGATTCGCTCGATGAACTTAGGATAATCAATAGATCTGCCTGGATCGGTATCGCTACTTGTCCAAAAGATTAAACGTCTCTTGGCATCGATAGTGATACATCCAGGGTAATCATAATTAGGATCCAAAGTACGGTAAAGTTTAGGTTGCTGTTCAGTTGGAGTAAGAAAATAGTAAAATTAAATTTCTTAAAGAATCAAATTAACTGCTCGTTACAATAATCAAAACATACCTCCATCTCATGATACAATCTTTTTGATCTGATTCCATATCTATCTATCCAGATTATAGCTTGGTTCTTCCAATCATAAGCGAAATCATGAATCATATATGTCTTATTAACAGATACTTGACACCCAAGCATTTCAACTTTATCAGCTGAAAGGCATTTAAAAAGTGTATGGTCTTAACTTAAGTCAAAATTCAACCTAAATTCAATTTTCATTTATAAAGTTAAAGGTTACTTACTCTGATTGAATTTTCCCCAAAATATCTTGTCTAAACTCTTATCTAACCAAATTAAAAGATCGTCGAAATTATCGTAATCAAAAGCACGTATTCCACTCAAATCAAATTGAAGTGACTTGTTTACATGTATTTTTTCACGACGTTCTGGTAACCTAGTCTCATACAAGGCATTCGTTGTGGAAAAGGCGATCAAAGGTTTTCCTTTGTGATGTCTACATGCTGCATTTCTAAAATCTCCTTGACCACAGCGAGATGGACTTGGGTCAAGATCGTTTAACCGAGGACATTCACCATTCCCGCAAATAAAATCTGCTTTTAAAATTTGCGGTATACCTTCACATACAGTAAGCTCATCTGAGCCGTCATCACAATCATTGATTCCATCACAAAGCAAATCGTATCTAACACATAACCTTTGCGAATGGCACTCAAACTCACCGGGACAAGGTTCATACACTATTGATCGCCAGAAACGACTGAAATCAGGCACCCAATCCCAAAAACCATGGGAATAATTGACACATGAAATAACGATCAAAAATGTTAATAAACAATGATTTAAGGTAACACATGATGAATAACGTTTCCATGATTTATTTTGTTCTTTCATGGTGATTGATGTTATTAGACACTTTTAAATATTGATTTGTCGTTGAAAAGCCACAGATTTTGTATTTTAAGCTCATTTCTATAACGAAATGAATTTGATTATATTGTAAGAGTTTTCAAGACATAATCAACAACCATTTGAAACAAATTCCTCAATATGAGTGTTTATCAACTTTGATTGGTAAGCAAAATTACTTTAATCAGTTTGTTTGGAGCCCTCAATTATCTAATGACTGTAATATGGAAACTAATGTCAGCATTTTGTATTCCTCCTTCAGATAGTCCTTCGTTTATCTATCGTCTATCTTATCGTCTATCTATGTTTTATCATTAAACGGAAGGTTCTACATGCGATTTCATTGCTATTTTGTGTAGAAAATCAATGATTAATATTTCGCATAAATGTATGTCATATTTTAACTCCATTAAATAACATTTATTAATAACAATCATCTAGCGGATAATAATTCCCATTGAATTAACTAAAATTTAGTTAAACTAATAATTAATTTAGAACCAATTCCAATTGACCAAGCACTATTATAGTTTCTGTCAATTGCAAGTTATTATTTCAAGTAATAATTTCAACTCCCCTCAAGAATCCTTTAGTTAAAATAAAGAGTCTGTTTTGCCATTCTGACCATTGTTAAGGATAAGAAATATTGATTTATCAAGACAGTGAAATAGACAGAATGAAGAAACAGGAGAATAATTTGGACCATTTCTCTTTCTCAATTTAAACACTTGAATTTGTGAATGTTACATGTATTACATAAAACAATTTATGATACCGACCAAGACAAGAAGCTCATGGTATGATGAGCATCGATTGTATCGTTATTGATGATTCTTCCAATTCATTCCGTCAGAGTTGTACATGATTTTTTTGCATTGAGACCAGAATCCCTCCCAATGCTTTCTTCTGGGATAAGTTTAACTTATTTAATTTCATTTTTCTTTGAATATGACTCCTCCAAGTCTCTTGCAATGATCAATTAATTTGAGCAAAAATTTTTATTTTTAATTGTTCTCTTGCATACATGAATCAAATCACTTTGAACAGGGAAGAGAAGGGCAATTAAATAGATGAAATTAGGGTTCTATGTCGTCACTACTTTATTATTGCCGAAATAATACAAAGATTGTTCACTCGGGTCAATTATTCTAACGCATGTAGGTAGACCATTAGGTGCCGATACCAATGTATCAACTTTTTTGACTGCATTGTTTATATTGACACGTTGGATTGTACTGTTTGCCTTGTCAGTGAAGTACAAATAATTTGTAAATATGTCCATTGATATGAGTTCATCCATGAAGGGCAAAGATCTATACAGAATGATGCGATTGGTTCCATCATATCCGATCGATTCCAACGTGCCATATAAGCCATCAATCCAATAGACTTTGGTGTTTTTAGTGTCAACGGCTAAACCAACTGGCCGAAAGATGTTCGATTCAACGATTTTTTCGGTTCTAGGTTCATCACTCATATCGATTCGCTCAATGTACTTAGTAAAACCAAAAGGTCTGTTTGGATTGGCACCAATATTTGTCCAAAAGATGCAACGTTTCTTGACATCGATAGTGATAGATCCAGGTCTATCATAAGAAGGATCCAAAGTACGGTAAAGTTCAGTCGGCTGTTCAGTTGGAGTAAGAAAATTATGAAATAGATTTCTCAAAGAATCGAATTAACTGCTCGTTTTAATACTTAAAACATACACTCTCGTACCAAACTCTCAGAAATTTTTTTGATCTGATTTCATAGTCATCAATCCAGATTATAGCTTTTTTCATCCAATCATAAACAAATACATGAACTTTATAAGCCCCATGAGCATATACGTCGCGTTCGAGGATTGCAGAATTAATTTTAATTCCGTTAAAGCCTTGAAAAAGGTAGAGGTATTAGCTTATCTCAAAATTAAACCTAAATTCAATTATCTTATAACAAGCTAAATGTACTTACTTATTACCATCTTAAAAAATCTTTGAAGAAATGCTGCCCGAAATATCTTGTTTGCACCCTTATCTAACCAAATTAAAAGATCGTCGAAATTATCGTAATCAAAAGCACTTATTCCACTCAAATCAAATTGAAGTGACTTGTTTACATGTATTTTTGCACGGTCTTCTGGTAAATTAGCCTCATACAAGGTATTCAGTGTGGAAAAGATGATCAAAGGTACTTTTCCTTTGTGATGTTTGCATGCTATATTTTTCCATTCCCATTTATCACATCGAGGTGGACTTGGGTCACGTTCGAATGACCGAGGACATTCGCCATTCCTACAATCATGCGCTGGATCAATTATTGGACATGAAATCTCATCTGATTCATCATCACAATCATTGATTCCATCACAAACCAAATGCGGTCTAATACACAACCTTTTCGAGAGACAACTAAATTCATCGGCATGACAGTTCACAGTTGGCCAGGGATTCTCTACTGAAGGTTCAGGGGTAACATCTTCAAATATCTTTGAATCATCTTCTGTTGAAGTTGGCAGCAAAACGTCATAAGAGAATTGCGATTGAACTGTAGATTCAGCAGTGCTGGTAGTAGTTAATCTTCCAGGTAACCAGATCAAATCTTTGGGTGGCATATCAGTAACGTCTTCAGTAGATGAATCGCTGAATATCTCACGATTTTCTGCGGTTGTCTCAGTGGGAAAAGCTGTGAAAGTGTCATTAGAAATCAGAGCTTTAGACCATTTAGAATAACGATTTACAAATTGTGAGCGATTTTCTTGTGTTCGCTTATCGGTAACAGCTTCAGGAGGAGACTCATTGCTTCTGCCAGCATCTCCAAATATCTGTGTATTTTCCTCTGGTGCCTTGTCAGTGGTAAAAGGTGGATAAGTAGGCCAATGATTCACTGATGGTCTAGTGGTATCATCTTTCAAAGAAACTAATTCACCAGAAACTTCGAATATCTTTTGAGCTCCTTCTGGTGTCACAGTGAGATAAGGTGGCCTTGTGTGAAAAATTTCAGGAAGTTCAGTGGACCAGATAACTTTTTGGGGTCTGTTAACTGTAGAAAAATCAAATGGAGGTGGAGTGTAATATTCACCAGTAGGAGATGTCATATCTTCTGGTGGCTGAGTGATGAAAGTGACAGGCTCTGATCCAGCCCACCAGAACCGAAAAGCATGGGAACGATTGATGGATAAAATAATGACCAAAAATGTTAATAAACAATGGTTAATAGTGAAAAATGGTGAATGACGTTTACACGATGTGTTTTCTCCTTTCATGGTGATTGACGTTATTAGACACTGTTGAATATTGATTTGTAGTTGAAAAGCCACAGATTTTGTATTTTAAGCTCATTTCTATAACGAAATGAATTAGATTATATTGTAAGAGTTTTCAAGACACAATCTAAAACTATTTGGAAAAAACTCTTCAATGTGAGTGTTTATTCACTTTGGTTAGTAAGCAAAATTACTTTAATCACTGCATTCCCTTTGTTCGGAGCCGTCAATTATCCAATGACAGTAATATGGAAACTAATATCAGCATATTTCAGTTCGCTATCAGATAGTCCTTCATTTAACAAATCTATTTTTTCCTCAAACTACAGGCTTTGGATGAGATATAATATCCATTTTGAATATTTTATCAATGATGTTATTTCAGTTTTCACGTCAAGATTTAAATCATTTTATCAACAATTATTGATTTAACTTACATTTAACTGTAGCACCTGATCTAATTGAAAAAAATGCAATAGCTCTTCATACAAAATCTTGATTCTCGGTTTTTTCAGTTCAATTAAAAGTAAAACAGTCATTTATTTAATAACCTTTAACTTTGATTCAATTTTTGAGTCAAACCCATTCATTTTTCAATGTTTTTCATTACGACCTTGTCAAGTCAACGACTCTTTTCTATTAGGGTGTTCGATAATGTGTTGACCTCAGTATGAAAAATAAATTATTTTTTCGAACTAAAGAGTTAAATCCCTTCCTTGGGAAGTATATAGAGACAATTTATATTTACTAAAATTTTCCATCTTACAACTATTCTGCGTATTAACGCGTTCAATTGAATAGACACCGAGGTTTGCTCAAAAGTTGAAACGATTCATGCAATCGACTTATGATTCCGGTTTTTCATGTTTAGTTTCCTTACGGTGAATTTTAGTATCACAGCCAATCTCATCACTTTGATCTTTACAGTCAAACTCTTGATCACAATGGAATGACTTATCAATGCAAGTACCATCGTCACACCTAAACTCCTTTTCTGAACAATCATGACCACATTCTTTTTCGTCTGATCCATCAGGACAATCTGTAATACCATTACACTGTAACACTTTATCGATGCACTTATTACCAATGAAACAATGAAAAAATTCAATATCCATTGACAGAATGCAATGCGTTTAGCGGGATCTGCATCTTCCAATTTTTGAACTTTTTTAAATTTGTAAGATCGAATTTTTAAGATCTTATAAGCATTAAGAAGTGATGATCTTGATAAATTGAATTCTGAAGCACGATACTTATCTGATAATTCTGGATTGAGCTCAACACTTTTCTCAATTTCTTTCAATACGCTCTCAGTCAAGCTCGTTCGAACTTTTTTCTTCCTCGGCTTTTGATTAGATTTCCACTTTTTTATGGTGTTGTAAATTGTTTCTCTTGCTGGACATTGTCGTCGATATTTCCTTTTACATAATTTGTAAACATTTCCATAATTTTCACCATATTTAAAAAAATTTTCAATGATGAATTTACTCAGTTCAATCGGTAGCAACATGTTCAAAAATCGGCACTAACTTGATCAATGATAAATCAACGAAAAAATGCGTTTTTGTTTCAAAATTAAGCTCATAATGATCTCCTTATTTCAATCTATAAGTGGTTTAAATTTTAAGCGATTTAAAGGAATATTCGTTAAGATATTCAATTTTTAAACTGTTCAAATAAATATTGACAACCCTGTACCATTACACTGTAACATTTTATCGATGCACTTATTACCAATGATATTAATACAAGTAAACTGGGAAGGTGGACATGTGATTTTACAGTTTACTTCGTCCGATTTGTCACCGCAATCATCTTCTGAATCACAAAGCCAATTTTTGGGAATACATTTACCATTTGTACATTTAAATACCTTTTCATCACATTCATGATGCAAACATTTTTCATCGGAACCATCTTTACAATCAGGTGTTCCATCACATTTCCATTCAAGTGGAATACAAGAATCGCCACAAGAAAATTGTGATTTGTCACAAGTCAATTGTGAGTATCGATGCTTTGGAAACACATTTACGGATATTTCTGGAGGCTCAGTCGCATGTGGATGTGAAAAGTTGACTACATCAATGTGAGGAAACGAGTGAATACTCTGGAAGTTGTTGAATATAACAATTATAGTTAGTAAATAATACAATTTAAAACTAAGGATTGTTTCACTTGCGATTTTCAAACTGACGGACATTTTAGGTTAATTTTAATGAAAGAAACGAAATATTGAATAGAAACAAATTATCATTCAAGTTGAAATGAAATGAAAGCTATGAAGAGCTTCTATGGTTTATAATATTAGTAGTTTGTTCAATCAATCTCAAGTTTAATCAAACCAATGCTATCAAAACTCATAGAGAATAAGCTGAATAACCAAGATTGGTATCTTGATTGAAATTATTTATTATTTCGCATATTCTATTACAATACAATTTATGATACCACCAAGGAAAGGAATTCATCTTGTGATCAGCATCGATTGTATCGTTATTGATGAATCTTGTAATTCATTCCATCAGAGTTGTACATGATTTTTTTACAGACTAGTATCACTCGCAATGCTTTCTTCTGGGATAAGTTTAAGTTTTTCTTTAAATATGATTTCTCCATGTCTCTTGCAATGATCAAGTCGTTCGAACAAAAAATTGTCTTTTAATTAGTTTCTTGTATACATGAATCAAATCCCTTTGGCCGGGAAGAGCACATTACTCTCGGATCAATTATTTTAACCCATGTAGGTGGCCCATTAGCTACAGATACCAATGTATCAACTTTACTGACTGCATTGTTTATATTGATACGTTGGATTGTACTGTTTGCATTGTCAGTGAAGTACAAATAATTTGAAAATATGTCCATTGATATAACTTGACTACTTATGGACAAAGATCTATACAAAGTGATACGATTGGTTCCATCATATCCGACCGAGTTCAACGTACCAAATAAACTATCAATCCAATAGACTTTGGTTTGTTTAGTGTCGATGGCTAAGCCAACTGGACTAAAGATGTTTGTTTCAACTATTTTTTTGGTTTTAGGTTCACCACTTATATCGATTCGCTCGATGTACACAGGAAAATCAAAAGGTCGCTTTGGATTGGCACCAATATTTGTCCAAAAGATGAAACGTTTCTTCGCATCGATAGTGATAGAGCCAAGTCTATCATAAGAAGGATCCAAAGTAAGGTAAAGTTTAGTTTGCTGTTCAATCAGAACATGAAAATAATCAAATTAAACTTCTTAAAGAATCAAAATAACTGCTCGTTTCTATAATTAAAACATACCTCCATCTCATAATACAATCTTTTTGATCTGATTCCATAGTCATCAATCCAGATTAAAGCTTGGTTCTTCCAATCATAAGTGAATCCATGAATTGTATGTGTCCCATTAACAGATACTTGACGTCCAAGCATTCTAACTTTAGCAGTTGAAATGGCTTTAAAAAGGTAATGGTCTTGACTTAAGTTCAACCTAAATTCAATTTTCTTTTATCAAGTTGAAGGTTACTTACTTTGGACAAATTTCCCCCAAAATATCTTGTTTTCATTCTCATCTAACCAAATTAAAAGATCGTCGAAATTATCGTAATCAAAAGCACTTATTCCACTCAAATCAAATCGAAGTGTCTTGTTTACATGTATTTTTACACGATCTACTGGTAACCTAGTCTCATACAATCCATCCAATGTGGAAAAGGCGATCAAAGGTTTTCCTTTGTGATGCCTACATGCTACATTTCTAGAATCCCATTCATCACAGCGAGGTGGAATCGCTTTATTTTTGTATGACCGAGGACATTCGCCATTCATACAATCTGGAGCTGGATCAACTATTGAAGCTACATTTGGACATGAAAGCTCATCTGATCCATCATCACAATCATTGATTCCATCACAAATCAAGTGCGGTCTAATACATAACCGTTTAGAGTCGCAACTAAACTCACCGACACCACAAATCACAGAATCATCCTCTTCTGATGACCAGAAAGCCAACCAACCCCAAAAACCATGGGAATAATTGACGGATGAAATAACGATCAGGAATGTTAATAAACAATGATTTAAGGTGACACATGATGAATAACGTTTCCATGATTTGTTTTGTCCTTTCATGGTGGGTGATGTTATTAGACACTGTTAAATATTGATTTATCGTTGAAAAGCTACAGATTTTGTATTTTCAACTCATTTTTATCACCAAATGAATAAGATTGTATTGAAAGAGTTTTTAAGACATAATCTGCAACCATTTGAAATAAATGCTTCAATGTGAGTGTTTATCAACTTTGATTGGTAAGCAAAATTACTTTAATCACTGCATTCCCTTTGTTCGGAGCCGTCAATTATTCAATGACAGTAATATTTCTATGAATTTCAGCATTTTTCAGTCCTCTATCAGATGCTGGCTCGTTTAACAAATCTATCTCAGGCTCTACATAAGATTTCATTTTCATTTTGTGTATCAAATCAATGATGTTATTTTAGTTTGCATGCTGAGATGCAAGTCATTTGGTCAACAATCATTGATTTAACTGACGAAAATTTAATCATAAAAATTTAAAGTCAATCATTTAATCAAGTCAATATTTCAAGCCTAAAAATAATTCTCAGATGACTCCGTCTTCTAATCATAATGAAAATATCAGCTAGTCAACCCTCATAAATAAATAAATAAAATTTATTTAATAAATACACAATGATTAAAAAACTTTGTGTCTCTGTTCATAGATGACACTAGCTCTTCATACAAAATCTTGACTCTCTGACTTTTTCAGTTCAATCAAATATAAACCAGTCATTAATTAATAACCTTAAACTTTGATGTAATTTTTAAGTCAAACTCATTTATTTTGTAATGTTTTAAATTACAACCTTGTTAAGTCAACGACTCCTTTCTAGCTGTTTATATACAGTAAAAGTAAATTCAAATTGTGATTTAGTTTAAATATAATAATACTTTATTGGTTATTAAAATATGTTTTGTGTAAAATTTCAAAAAACAACATTCATCAAAAAACATGACAAAAGTTGGTCAAAAAGAGGTAAATTTCTTATTCTAATGGTTTGTAAGGTTAAAGGATTACAGTGAAAATAACATCGGTTAACTGGTTTTACGATTTTGGTCCAATGTGTTCCTTGAGAAGGTGGGAGATGAATAAAGTTGATTATTCATAATGAAAAAAGTCCGGTTAATGGTGACCACTGATGAGGAATCAAAATGAAAATGAAGTTAAAAGCAAAGATCGAGATCTGACATTAGCTAAGGAACTTGGATCAACTGTTTACATTACTTACCAAGTTTGGGTTACTTCTGGTTGATATTCATAAGCTACAATTTCTTGATGGTGGTGATGATGAGGTGGTGGTGGAACCTGAACTGGAACTGGAACTTGGACAGGCACAGGCATAGGAACAGGCACTCGAATTGGAATAGGAATTGGAACTGGAGACTGAACTGCAACCCGAAATTGATGAGCAACAAAAGGTTGAGGCTGCATTGGGGCAGTATTGACTGCATGATCATGGTGACCCTGATGGTGCATCATTTCATCCTCTTTACCAAGCATCATCATTATCTTTTCTTTTGAGATTCTGTCCGGTGAAGAGTCGAGAAACAGCAACATAAGTATTTGGCACAATAGGAATCAAGAAATATACTCACGGAATTGGAATTGGAACTGGAATGGGAAGCATTTTCTTCCTTGGTTTCAAGATTAAAGCCAAAGCTGCTAGCTTCTGCATTTTCATCATCTTACGACGAGAAAGTGACTCCGATGGTGATGGAAGGGTCAGAAGAATGACCACAATTGCTGATAAACAGATGAAAATTGTTGCCTTCATCTAAAATGGGAAAAAGGCCAAACAAAAACACAATTAGTATCACAATTAAAATGGATCAGTTAGGAAATTACATTGAAAATCCGAATCTCTAATGGACAAGTTGAAGTTGAACACAAAAACTAGAGGTAATTGGACGTTAATCACAGCTGTCGATACTTTGGTTTATCACTTTAAGATCAGTCAACTCTCAATGATTTTCATTTCTCTAATGATTTAACTCGACAGCCAAGTGACCATTTTATATCAATCTTGGACAACTTTACTATCGCTGATTAATTAACCAGAAAGCAGCCTTTATTAAAATTAGTCTTGGATTGAGTGATTTGGTTGGAAACACAAAACCACTTTCACTTAATTTAAACTCATTTGAATGTCCAAAAAAGAAGAAGATTTTGCTATAGTTTTTTCCGGATTCTGATGGCATTAAAGCTCCATTAAGTGTGAATCAATAAAATCAATTAGACATTCTAATCAATTGGATGGATTTGATTTGAAACATCTTTCTACTGATATATTGAGCCTTATATTAGAAGCTGGTGAGTAAATGAAACCATTTTAACCAGATTCCATGATTCAGGTCATTCTGCCAACTCAACTAACTTCATGCTAATTAAATGGTATTACCTGATTATCAATGACTGTGAGTTTAATTGATTACCAGTTTAATTGTGAAATGTCAATACAAGTCATTTATGTTTTCCTTGTTTCACATTATTTTAGACTCACAATTTGCATAATACGTCGCCATTTCAACAGTTAATCGATCCTGATCAGCTCAACTCAACTGTGGTCGATCCAGTTGTACATTACTTCTGGTTTTAAGGATATCTTCGCAAAGGCAGCACATTGTTCACCTAAATCTAACCATCTACCAGATCATTCACCATCATATTGGGAATCTTATGGAAAATCTTGTGAAAAAAATGATTGAAAATATGGCAGATAATTTTATTGAGAAAAGTCTCTTAGCAAAGTGATGATGAATGATTTGATTGATGTGAATGTGTTACATTTGGTGGGCAATATGGTGAAAAAAGCTGGTCCCCTTGACTATTAACATGGCTGGTTGTAAGTAATCTGTTGCCTTTACTAAAATAACATTCAAACCAGAAGTAATGTACAATTTGATCGACAATTAAGTTGAGCGGACCATGATCGATTAACTGTTGAAATGGCAAAGTATTATGCAAATTGTGAGTCTGAAATAATGTGAAACAAGGAAAAAAGCTGGTCAAGCTTGAACATTATGACATAAAAGGTTTATTTGATAAAACATAATCTTATAATATTTACAACATGAAAACAGAGATCAATAATCAATCGATTGAGAGTCAACATTAAACTACAAGAATGGACGAGCTGATTGGTGAAAAAATGCAAGTAAAATGGGTGAAAATCATTCCCTAAATGAATTGGAATCCACAATTATCTTGGTAATAATCTAAATTATGGCTGACTCGCTAATTGTAAGACAAAGAAATGGGGTAAAAATGGTTGAAAAAAACAGTGAAAATAAAGGAGCGTTTGGTTCTGATGTGTAATGAATCTGTCCTTGATTGAAAATATTGTTAAAACGAGTTAATTGGTTTATTGATTACTTGTTTTACGTTTACAGTCATTATTGTTTAAAGTAATGGTTACAATGGGACGTTTAGCTGGCTAACACTGGTTAACACGTACCATGAATGTTCAAGGTAATATAAATGTATCAGGTCAGATAAACAGAGTATCTATTCAGATATTGATTGTGTGCCCTTGAATTATCAACAAAAACAACACTTGGTAAACAGGGTGAGCTAAAAATCTGGTTGAACAGCGATTATTATATTAAGTCGGTGAAAAAAAATATATATTTATAAAAGTGTATAAAGATAAAGGAGCTTCAAAGAGATTTAACCCAATGAGTAAGAAACAGATAGGAGGAGAAAGAAATTACGAGACCATTTTTAAAGACCTTTTTTCACCAACCAACAATCATCATCATCTTTGCTATCATCATCATGCTTTTACGTAATGTCTGATTCATGTTTGAACTGAACAAAGTAGATGGAATATGCTCAAACTCTGTTCCCTCTGTCTTCTTTCCTCTCTTGGTGATTGATACTATTAACTTAAGGCTCCTAATCTACTTCTTGCTGCTTCAACGTTCTGTTCAATCCTTTCTCCCTTTTTTTTTCATTTCATTTTTCTTCTTCCCTTTTCTTTTGCCTCAATTTAATTTATCTGATTATACCATAACTGACGTCAGAACATCAATCAGATTCCACCAGCTAATAATAATGATGATAACTACCGAGTAACTTTTGGTATCTTCACAAAGGTAAGAAAGTATTTTCATCTCCTTTGTGTATATTTACTCTTTCTTTTTTTCCCTCCTTTCATTGAAAACATTTCTTTTGTTTGCTTGTCTACGACTGTCTTTTTCAGTTCAATATCAAGTATACCAGTTACTATCTTTATAATTGTCAACTCAATTGATAATCATTGTCATGCTTGTTAATTTTGATAATGTTTTCTGTTTCATTGTCAATTATTTGCTTATATGTTCAATTTTGATCTAAAATTATCCAGTTTCTGCTTTTTAAGTGATGTGATCATGTTTATTGCTTGCTCTTCCCTTGAGGTCAATTCTGCGACTTTTTTACTTCGTAGTGTCACCATACTATTAGTATTTCCTTAATTTACTTGCTGTCACCGCAACTAGATTGCTATTAAGCGTTATTATAATTTCAACCGTTCTAATGAAGATTCCTTTTTCTTTCCAATTTGATCTTTTGTGCCATCAATCTATCCATTGGATTAACAAAGATGCAAATTGAAACAGAGCCGTGCCACCAGCAAACCAAATCTTCAGTCATGATGGACAATGCTGTACCTAGCTCATCGAATGGTGAACAAATCTTGCCAGACTTTGGTGGCTTCTTGGACACTGGGAGAACAGGCCGACGAAATGCAATCCCTGACATTCATGTGGACTCGTCTGCAAATGTTTCCACAGCTGATCTACCTTTAGACTTCGAGAAGCTGACTTGTTCAAATAGTTAATTGTTATCAAGTGGATTTCATCATCTTAATTTAAGACATAACTCGCATTTTCAAAGTCAAACTCATTACTGAACCTTTTATACTTGTTCACATGCATAGAGAGAGAGGTAATGGTTTAATTTGACTCACTCTTGGTAAAGGACTATTCTCTTGGATAATCTCCAACTAACATGTTCCGATTTTAATTCAGATTGGATGTTTCAATGAATTTCATTGCTTATCTTCACTTTTGCACTCTCATGGGAATGTCTACTAAATGTCAACTAGAGGAAACAAGCAACGACGATGCAAAATACTCCGGAAAATCATGTCATTTTTAACCGTTCCTCTTTAGTTGAAGCACAGGATCTGATCCAATCATTTTGTAATCATCATTCGATGGCTATAGTTATTGTTTTTATCACCTTCCATCAAACCCATCAAATCACCAAAACATTGTCTGTTTATTTTTGATGGCAGGAAATCCTGCTTTTGTTTTCTTCGCTTTTTTGTGTTGTTAATTTACAAAATTGTAGAGAAAGCTTTTTGCTACATGAAACGGAATTTTTTGGACAAAATGAATTTAATGGATACAAAAATTTTTAATAAAACAAGAAAAGTTTTGACAAAATACGTTGATATAAACATTGTTATTAAAAAATATACAGTAGTCCCTCCATTTTTTGCCAAAGCTGGTCGAGAAAAATGTGTCTTTACTACCTGGATTCTTTGGAATTGAGCATTTTAATTTTTCTATTGTTAATTTAATCTTTATAACCACTCTAGTGTTTTATTAACAAATTTTGACTGTTTATGTTAAAATATCAGCTATTCCAACTTTTTTCAAAAAAATCGAGTGACAACTATTCTTAAAAAATTCAATCTGTGATAGGATGCCATTGGCATTGATCAGAATCAAAAATGTAACTCAGATCGGAAGGTTGGCGATTTTTCAAAATAAGCTCATTTTTATCGTTTAAAATTAACTGGTGAGTGGAATTTTCTTCCTCCTCGCTTATCTCAGCTCCACCAAATGTTAATGAAGCACGAGCAAATGCTATGTTAGGATAATTGTCGCTATCGCTAGGCATTGAATCAATGAAAACTTCACAACCATTCAAACTCGAGATGTTGGCTTCTGAATAAAAGTTTTCACTTTCTTCGGCATCTTCATCGTCATTATCGATTTGATAATCATATCCAATTGATTCAACAGCTCGCAATAAATCGTCCCTAGACATATCAACAAAATACGAATCACCAAATTGATCGAAGTACCTTGAAAGGCTTTCACGAGTTTCAGAAGTCATGACGATGTAATCATGATAAGATGGGCTGATAAATAATTGATGTTCCAGCACATTCATCAACCAATCTAGCCTCAAGATATCATAGTTTCCAAATTTAATCAAATTTTTGACTCGCAAGTCTTCAACGGAATGAGCTATTAAACAATAACATTCTTTGGTTGGGTTTGCAGATATTTTACCTCCATATTGGACAATTAGCTTTTCAGCTGAGATTTTCGGTAATTCACTTGATCCATTCAGAACACACATTTCTCTTCCCTGTAAGATATCTTTGCACATTTCAACTGAATCTAAATTGGCCAAGATAAAATGAGAGGCAAATTTTCTGTCACTAACAGGTTTTCGCCTTTTTTTAACAGGTTCATCATCATCATCTGATAGATCGCCAATTTGACGAGTAAATAAATTGCCTTGTTCTTGTAGTTGAGACAGCTCTTCGGTTGTCATGCAGTCACTGTATTTTTTATCATACCGTATGCAAACAACCCTTGGAAATCTTAGAGTGGTTCCAACAGCAAAATCATCGCTTTCCATGAATTCTGATGCTTTTACTTGAAGAATGAAAGAGTTTTTGGGTTCAACATAAAATTCTGGTTTGGCTTTTCCAAGTTCTAGGAATGAAGGAGGGTCTGAAGGGTTAAATTTAACCCAGTGTGGTTCCAACTTTTCTAAGAGAGTTTTGAGTTCGCTATCGGAGTAACCACTGCCAACTTTACCAAATGAACGAAATCGGCGACCATCGATACAATCATCTTCTTTAACAGCAACAGCCAACATAAAACGTGATATTATTCCAGCTCTGCGTCCATCACCATAATAACCACCTACAATCAAGAGATCTAAATCATCCATCAAACCCTCAATGTAATCCGGCTTCAATTTGAACCATCCACTATTCCTTCGGATGTTGGGCTTATAAATGGAATCCCAGAATTTGACAATAATTCCTTCATCTCGTTTGTCAATAGCATCATTCAAACAGCGGATAGTATCATATTTATCATTCCCATCTTGTTTATCAGCATGCATCAACCAATTTTCTTTCGTCTGCAGGTATTCGGAAAGAATTTGAGATCGTTCTTTTAAAGGTTTTGACGTTAGCTGCTGTCCATTGCAAACAAGTATGTCAAACACAAAATAAACTGGGTGGAAAGCTTCTAAATCACCATCGGTTAACTTTTTTATGTCAAATTTGAGTTGGCTTTTGGTAATCAGACTGTTACTTGATACATTAAATCCTAGCATCTCTCCATCAATTATACAGTCAGATATCTTGTTGAAACAGGGATCTATGAATGGAGTAAACGACTTATTGAAGGATTCTGAGAAATCGAACCCGTTGCGAGAAAAATATTTAAAAACATCGCCTTGTTTATGCAATACGATTCGCTCTCCATCATATTTCTTTTCAATGCAAAATGGTTTCCCAGAGGTGATTGAGTTTATCTTTTTGATTTCTATTCTTTCAGACAACATCGGGACAAATGGCTTGAAGACAGTTAAAGAGACTACAAATCCACGAATACGATCATCAGCCAGTTTCACGCAAACTTCAGCTAAATCTTGATTGCAATCATAAAAAGAACGGGCATCTGGGTGGAATGTGTTTAAAATGACAGTCTCAGATAGACGGAAATTAAGAGATTTTAAAATTATTCGAATCAGCCACTTGTTTTCCAGGGGACCAAGATTAAGAATCAAATGTTCCAAGTTTGAATTTATCCCAGATTGATTTCCATCTTGATAGGAAAGAGCAATACGAGTTAGGCAGTCATTGACATCTTTGATTGATAGATCACTGTTCTGTGTTCGGCCTTTGCTAGCTAAGATTTTCATGATTATGCTTGATAAGTCAGATTGAACTTTTGCATGTTTTGGAAGCTTGTAATACGAGATCATTTCTCCTTCTTTACTTTTCTTGTTGATGCCAAGAATCCTGAGATATTGGTTGACCAAACTGAATTCCTTTAACCCAAAAGCAGGACGTGATCGATCCAGGGCCGGACATAGCAACTGGAGACAAGGGAAAAAACTGGTTTCCGGATTAGTCGCATTATATCCTGGGTGCGATCTCCAACTCAAAATATAATCGGCAAGCAAACAGACTTTGTCTTTCCTCTTGGCCTTTAAAATGGACTCACATAGATCAGAAAATTCAGCGAAAGACTTATTTCTATCGACAGACATGACTAAAAACACATATAAACAAATGATGCAACTAAAGATGATGAAACTAAAACAAAGCTTACATGATCAAAGAGTGGAGAGTAAAACTCTTTGGCTTTATGTACAAAAGTAGACAAACAGAGTTTTAACTCTTCTGTGGTTTCTAATAGCTATTGAACTATACGCTGGACTTTGAGCTATTAAACGCAACTAATATTAGCTTCAAGTTAACATCTTCATCTGGCAGTCCATTCTAAATTTAGATAATTATTAATTAACAAGTTGCCACTTAATTGATTTGTTTTTGTTTTTCAATCTCTGTATAGGATTCAAATAACCGTAGCAAAATTGATACTTGTGCCATCTTGTAACAGAATCATGTTGTTCTCTCAAATTCTTCTCAATGATGTTTTTGTTTTAATTTATCTTTTGCTTAGTTAATTTATTGTCTTGTTTTGCATCCTTACATCATTATTGCCCTCTAATTGTTATTAGTTGATTATTTCCTCGTTGTGATCTCTAGCGGGCATTTAGGGTAAGTAAAATGAATCTAGTATTTGTTTATTTTGGCAACAACGTTCTGACAACCAGTTCAACATAGCTGCTCATTTTCAATGTTACTCTCTCCATTGAAGCCTTTTATTTTAAATTTTTGATTTTCTTTTAACGTAAATCCTGCCACACTACCAACAATTTAAATAATTTTTTCCATTTCCATTCCTCCCTTAGATTTTTACTGGTTATTACTATGTCGACTTCTCCTACTACAAATGTCTCTGAAGAGGAAGAAGAGTGGATTGTGGAAAAGGTTTTAGACAAAAGATCCTGCAAAGGACAATTTGAATATCTGCTGCAATGGAAAGATAACGTGACCTCATGGGAACTGGCTGATAGCTTATCATGCCAGGATCTAATTGATGAATTTGAGGATCAGCAACGTCAATTAGCTGTTAAACGTCAAGAAAGTGTTGAGACCAAATCCAGTTCCAAGAAAAAGAAACGGCGAAACTCTACTTCTGAGCCCTTGAATGGATTTGATAGAGGATTGGAACCCAAAAAGATTCTCGGTGCTACTCATAAAAATGGGGAAATCATGTTTCTCATGAAATGGTAAGTCACTGTTATACATTTTAAGAGCATATTGTATGAAAGATGCAACATTACCTCAAGAGGAAATGGCCGAGATAAAAATGAAGATAAAGATAAAAATCACAATATCTTCAGTTAAATTATCTGAATCTTGGCCATTTTCATCTTTATCAAGTTGTTCGATTATTATTTAGGTAAGGTAAATGCTGCATCACCCTTTATTTAATATTTTCTGCCATTAGTACTTTTCTCCATACTATTGCTCATGTTTTGTGTTCATTTTTTCCATAAACTTACGTTAATTATCTCCAAAACATCAATTATTTAGGCGGAACACTGATGAATACGAATTGGTGCCCTCAAGTATCGCTAATATTAAGTGTCCACAACTCGTGATCCAGTTTTACCAGGATCATTCAGTCTGGAGTGATGCTAAAAATCCTGATAGTCCAACTGCATCATAAAATAAGATAATTTACATGCAATCGTCAACCCATTCCCAAATGTTATCTCATGTTCATCTTTTAATATTTTCGCAATAAACTAAGTTTCAGAGTTCATTGTATCGATCTTTTTTATTGAATCAAAACCAAGGCAAAACATTTTATGTATCCATCAATGCCATAGAGCAATTTCCGTTGACTCTAAGAGAGTTTGAAAAATTTTAGTTTTTTTGCGAATATTCTGGACTAAGCTTTGTCTTCTTTCTCAAAAGAATTATTACAACCACTTAACTGAACTAGTTTTCTTCTGGAAGGCCATGATTTCCAATAAGCGGGAAATGTTACTTCTTAGAAAATTGCTTACTTTTGAAGTTTATCCTGTTAGCAACGGGGTGTTAAAGTAGCATTGCTTGCTTATTTGAAAGCATAGTCTTGCTGGTTCAAAAAATGACTGGTAGTCAAGACAATTTCAGGCACCTTCTCGAGAAAAATAGGCAAAGACTCAGAAAATCTTCATTTGTTTCAATTTCAAACAGTAAAGGAATAATCTTCACTATTTTACATCAACTAAATATTTGTAATAACCGCCATGACTTTTTATTTACTTCTTCCCACTTTTATCCCAAATGTTTACAAGTTTACAATGTTGAAGTAAACACACTTTTACTTATTTGCAAAATACTATTAATAGTTTGTTTCCAAAATCAAGTTACAAAGTTAATTAATTGTTAATTGTTAATTTCTAATGAAAATGTCTGAAAATCAAAAACCAGGAATAGGACAAGTGCCAACTACGAATTTATTTCGTATCACAAACTTTGAGCTTTTCGCCAAACCGGTATGTTTTTAATCAATCTCGCACATTTTTATAAATAACATGAAACACATTTTTATTTTGATTGCAGAATAAATACGTGATGATAGCTGGATCATTAGCCATGGCAACATCTGTAGGTTACTTAATTTATATGAATTCAAAAGGAAGCAAAACAGAGCCTCAGCCGGAAGAAATAATACAAGAGCCAGTGCCCGTGAAATCTAAATGGGATTAATCATGTCTACGACTTCATTCACCATTGAGGAATACTTTTTAAATGCTTCAATAAGCCATTAGTCACTCAATATATCACAACTGTTTAAATTAACGATATTAAAGATTAAAACGTTCTGGATTGAAGCGTTCTTGGAAATGTTTGATTACTTCAACACGTTGCTCACAAATCCAAATAGTAATTCAAGTAGCAAATTTGGATAGAATACAAATGTAACTGAAATTGTAGATAAGATGATATTTTAATCAGAAACTTTTCTTTTTCCAAATGAATCCTGATTGTTAATGAAGTTATTTGAGTTTGAAAATACTATTAGCAATTATATCTGCCATTGAAATGTGAGAACTGTATAATAGATGTCTCAAATCTAAATGCCATTTAATATCAGATTGAAAGGAATAGTAAATTGCCCAGTTGAACCTTCGGTGGTCCGAGGTGCGGGCTTCAAACCCGTAGCTGATTAGCGTCAGAGTGGTTCAATTCCACCTACTGGGCGATCTCTTTACACACTCACAATAATTAAATGCAAGTCTTTAAGACTTTTTAAAATTCTGTTTTCAGTTTTTTTTCAATAAGCTGAAGCCGTCTAGATCCATCTCGGTTGAAACTCATCAATTCACTGTTTACATGTTTAGCTACAAACTGTATCAGTTCATGTAGACTTTTCCTTCCTCTATATTTAATCTTCTCTTTGGTTTTACTCGGAATCAGATAGACGGTTGGAAATTGTTTAACTTCAAACTGTGAAGGTATCGTATTAACAGAGCCGTCTAATGTAACCAATTCAAGAGTGGATTCACCAGATAGCTCATGAGCCAGTTCGTTCCAATACAATTCAAATTCCGATGAATATCTACATTTAGGATCAGTGAATCGTATCAAAACATCTTTCGAGTTACCAGATACAAATTTATGAAATGTGTTGCCAGTTATTTCTCTGGTTAATGGTGAAACTTCAAGTCCTTGTTTTATCGGTGCATCAAAACTGTCAACAATAGGAGCTATCAAATTAGATGTAAAGTGTTGAATAAATTGAGCTAAAGCTTTTTCACTGAATTCATCTCTCATTACAAACATGGATCCAAACTCATCGTAAGCCATGAAAACAGGTGAATCCTTTCCTCTGGGTACCTTGATCCCATACTTTTTCAGTTTGTTTTTGAAAACGATTGAATTTGCAATTCCAAAATAGATATTCAAATGCCTTCGAGAGGCCAAAATTATCTGATTACGCCATGCATGAGAAAACGATGGTTGCTGTATAAAGTTATGGTCATAGTATACAATTATTTTTGGTGGTCTAACATCTTCCAGTGTGTTATCCTTTGTAGCCCAACCAATGGTACCAAAAGCCTTTCTGTGTATCCATTGACCAATATCTTCGTTGCTATTTATTGGATACAACACGATTGGCTCTTCTAGTGGTGTCATTAACCATGATGGTCGTTTAAGAATGATCAATGGATATTTCCAATGGCGTCCTGATTTTCCTCCTAGTTCAGTCAGTTCCCAGTCATTGCCTTCAGCTGTGTCTTTGATGATATGAAAAAATTTTACACCAGAAAGAAATGGTTTCTTGGTAACTTTTAAAGATGCTTCATGATATAACTCAACCAATTCATCTTTATTATCATCAAAAATGGCCACAACTGTAACCTCATCGATCATTTTAACAGCATTATTGAGGTCAGTGTAAGACCAAAATCTAGTTGATATCAATCGACTATGTTTTCTTATCCATTGTGTTATTGTTTCAGCGTCTCGTGATTGATGGAAGATAGCATCTATTGCTCCGTATCTGGAATATTGGCGTTAAAAAGCATCAAAATTAGTTATTAACCTAAAAATTTTCTGGTTCGACTTGATTATTCAATTACTTTGAGCAATGAATGTAAATATTTACCTGATGAGGACTAAAGTAGGATCAAAGGCAACGTTAAAATCTAAACAGACTTCATTAATAGATTCAGACGAGCAATCAAATCTGACAATCGGTAACGGAGGATCCTCATAGTCGTCCAAATTATCAACAGCCTGGATTAATTCATATTTAATCAATCTCCAGGATTCAAAAGAAGCCGTGAAGGCGACAAAAACAACATCAAAATGGTTTAAAATATCTTTGAAGCTTGATAGAGAGGAATTGGATAGATCAAGCAATCGGTTGGCTGATATTGCTTTATTACCATATGTAAGCTGGCCAGCATTAGTTGGATAATTAAAGCCAAAAATTATGAAAATTTCCAACAAAAACAAATTGCCTTTCATTGACTTATAACCTGCTTGGACCAACAACAACTCTAAAAATCTAGAGCAAAACCTCGCAGCTAAACAACATTATTGCTCTGAGGATACTTCAAGTTTCATAATTTGTTATAAGATTTTATAATAAATTATTTACAATTTACCAGCTAAATAATAGATTTATTTATGTTCCTATTACTTTGTAGTTTCGCAGATCTCAACTGATCTCACATGATTAACAATAGGCGGTGAGGGAGTTTATGTTTGATAAAGATTGCAGTTCCTATGCAATAAAAACAAAAAGCCTTTTGATATTTAAGATATCACCTTTCAAGATAACAAATCTGTGAAACAGATTGAAACACTGAATATTTGTTAATGTTATTATTGTGAATATCAATGCATGAAGCTCAAATGTTTGTATCCTTCTTTAATTACCATCATTTGACCATCTTTGTTTACAAGGGAAAAACTTTACTGTTTAAGTAATTATGAATTCTGATCCGTTTCCATCGAATCAATCATCTGTTGATTTCCTTGAACAACAAATTTCATCGTCGCACCAAGCTTCATCAAGTGAAAGTAATGATTTGTTGAGGACACTTGTCCCTAGTGCAGATACCATTAAACATTACTTATGTGATTCTGATGAACAAACGGTTTACCAAAGTGCAAACACTAATTATCCAATTACACTAACAGAGCTTGTTAATTTATCAACCACAATTGGGCCTACATATTATAGTTCAAATTATGATGATTCCAGTTTCCAGGCAAACAGTTTCAACTTAAATCAAGATTCGCCTGAATATAATAACGTTTCCTCAACAAAATCATATTCACAAAATGTTCAACCTTACTATCAATCAAACATCAATGATATAAGCAACAATTCATTAACTACTTACTCTAATAACCAATACAGGTCTACATTAACACTAAATACAGATAACTCGTCTGTCTTTGAACCTTGGAACCCGAATGTTGCTCAGCAAATATTGACTGTTTATTTTTCTTCATTAAGTTTAAAGTCAGAGTTTCTATCCAATCAAGTGAATTTAGATTGTTTTGAACACTTATTCATGAACGAAGCAACTTCTGCTTTTCAGGGACATAAAAGATTCAGATTAACGTTGGATTTATCGTTTACTAATTTCAATATTGATCCAAATCAACTACTTTCAATATGCAATAGAATCAAAGGTTTCAGAAAACTTGAAACATGTGATAAAATAATCCTTTTATCCAGCACATACTTTGATGTTTTCATGATGAAAGGAATAATTAATTATGATCAAACAATTGATGGTTGGCAAGTAAGTAACAAGTCTTTCATTGCTTCAACCATTTCTAACATTTTTTATCAATTTTGTTCCACTTTCATTCAGTATCCAGAATATGGGTTCAGATATAGTCGACGAGATATGTTTGCACTCAATCAAACTGCACATGATAGTATGGCACAAATAATTGAAACCTTTCCAGATCAATGGAGAAATGATCTCAAAGTGATAGCACTAATTTATTTAATAATCATTTTCAATCCTGATCTATCTGATTTGAGACATCCTGAGATTGTCAAGTAACCTTTTTTCAATGCATTCAAGTCTATTTTGCTAAATTCAACTTTCATTTTATCTTTTACAGACACGAGCAATTTACTTATATTTATTTACTTGGACGGTATTTAAGGACTGTATGTAGATCCGACTGTGAAGCTGCCAACAACCAGTTCAGATTGCTGGGTAAAATTGAACAGGTGAAATCGGCGAGAAAAGAGTTGATGAATAATTATGAACCACAAATTAAACCCTTTTTAATGCACAGCATTTCAAATGTCATTGCTTTGCATGGATGATGTTTACAACGATAAATAGCAATATTGTATCTTCCTTTTGTATTTAATTGTTTACCATAATAAATTTATTTTGACTACAAACCTTGAACCAAAAGTCGCAAATATTGAACATTTTAACATAATCTCTGCCTGTGAAAGTCTCACTTAGCTTCTAATTTCAATTCTAAAATCAATTCATCAGTGAATTCACCAAGAAAATAAACAATAGATGGAGAGGGAAATTATGGTTGGTAAAGATTGACACAAATGACAATAAATGTGACTTATTAAACTATTGTTAAAACTTAAGTGGCAAATGTTTGATATCTTTTTCATTAGCCAACCGATTCTTTTGGTGGCAATGGCGAAACCGAATCTCAACTTGAGATATTTTTCAAACTGTTGTGATTATTGTCTGAATTTCAGACGATAGATGACAGTAATATGAGTTGAATTGATTGGTTATTTGTTAGGAGCAGAGTCTCCCTCTTGAGTTTGTTTTTGCTCAGCTGTTGGATTTTTAAATTGTTTTGTTTTCATTCATCCGTTTTCACCCGTTTTCATCCTTTCACCTTGTCCTCCATTTTTATTTACCATTGTGACCATTGTTCACCTTCAATTTTATAAATGTCAAATAATCCACCAATGGACCAATTTGCTTACAACAATCAAGGCAACTTTGTGCCAGCTGAGTTGAATCAAAACCTGGCTGCACAATATCAACAAAACTTTTTAACCGGAGGACCTCCAACTCTTGTTGTTACACCAAGTAACATTCCTCTCTACCCTGGATATCAGAATATTGGAAACAATCAAACCAATGGGAATGGAGCCCAGACTTCGAAATACAATCAGTTGCTCGCTGTAATCGAGGAGATGAGCAAAGATGTTCGACCAATTTACGCTGGATCTAAAACATCAACTGACCATTTTAAACGAGGCATTATGCATGCTCGAGTTTTAATTAGAGAATGTATTCTAGAACTCGAAAGGAGTCATAGTAAAAATTAATTGACGATCTTTTTTCGTATTTTATACTTTGACGACACCTTTTAATGTGAAAAATAGGTAACTTTGGTTACGAAAAAAACAATCGTCAATTAACAATCATTCAATCATGGAAATTCTCAGTACCAATCAATTTACTGACTTATTGTCATCAAATTTTTTTTTGAAAAATGTACGATTCTCAAAATAAATTAAAATTGATGTAATTTTTCTCACAATATCTATGGAAATCTTATTTCTCGATTTTTAGCCAATCGGTCTTTTGTTTAAAAAAATATGCTTTGTTTATGCATTGTAAATGCAAGTGTTAATAAATTTAAATTAGTAATACAAATTTTGGATATTTGTAGATATTTAACATTCAATCAATCAGATTCTGATTCTTCTTCGGCTGTTTTTAACCATTCAATGAATTTTAACATGATTGCATGAGATCGCAGGCTTTTCTGTTCGATCACGTATTGATCTATCTCGGAAACTGGAGAATAAAGAATTTCCATTCTTTGATGCCAACGAATTATGGTGTCTTCGTCCAGCACACTATCGTCATAAAGGTAACTTATAAAATGTACTAGAATAGGTATGGATGAAGATTGATTCATGACAGATACAGTAAACTCTTCCATGGCTTTAAGACAGTCTATTTTGCCCTGATCATCTCTTATGTAATTGACGTACAAGGGTGATAGATGTTTGACCATCTCCTTAATTTTTCCAGCTGTAGCTTTACCTTCTTGATTAGCTAATTTGGAGACAGCATCAATTATAGCTCGGCTCACCAAAAAAGCAACATCCTTGTATTGAATATTGTATGCATGTCTGAATAAAAAAGAAACAATTTAGAAAAGTCGCCAAATTTTCAATGTGGAATAGCACTTACTTTGAAGCATTAATCTCTACAATTAAATTTTCGCACGCAATTTTGCATTCAATTCCTCGTATTAAACTATCAACCACTTCAGCATAGTACCCTGAAAAAAGAAAGAATTGAGACACTTCTTCAAAATGTTTTATGGAAAACTAACTTTTTTGATCATCTCCATCATCTCCATCGCCAAACTTATAATCGTACTCGTATTCATCGTCACTTTGCTCATTTTCAGAGCTTGAAGCTGATGATATTCCTTGCTCTGATTCATCTGGAGGTAAACCCCAAATTTCGGGTGAAAATGAGCCACCATCAGACTCCTCTTGACCATCTTCCCTTCCATCATCGATCCATACAAAACCTTTTGCACTTTCTCCAAGATTTTTAGCATCAATCTGCTGAAGGACTTCAAGAATGCCTGGGTCGTCTTCATCCCGATGTTTTGAATCGATATAAGAGATTTCTTTAATATTTACGTTGGGTCCTAGGATTACATTATCAGCAATCAAACAGCCATTATTTATATTTGTTGACGCTTTAATAATAACGTTTTTCCCAATTATTGAAGTTTTTATTGTACAATTATCCTCGATTATAACATTGTCCCAAATATACGCTCCTTCTATTCTGACATTATTTCCGATTCTTACATTGGATCCTAAGACAGAGTAATGAATTTCGACATTTGCTCCAATTTCGGTTTTGTCTCCAATGGCAATATTTCTTGAAAGTATTGAACCTCTAAAAATGAAATAACTCGTTAGCTTAGGAACGTAAACGGTCTGTCTTCTTAAAGAAACTTAATTAAGTACGAATACGTACGCTGTGATATTTGAGATTCCTTCTTTATAAATATGATTTCTTAAATACGCATAATTCATTAAAAGATCAGGAACATTTGGATAAGTCCATCGCTGAAGGATATCTCGAGATATAGCATCATATGCTATTGGACTTACAGCTCTGGCTGCATAATAAGGCGAATCCAATATTTTGGCATAAATTGTATTTCCTAAAATCTAGATTAAATGGTAGCAAGTATTAGCAAAATTTGATAGCTTTAAAAATAGATGCTTGTGCAGCACTTACTTCTTCTTGACCCATGATTCCCTTGATAAAATCATCTCTTGTTTGGTAATCAAAATTATCAGCAAACAGGGATAAAACAGAAAGAGAGCAAATCGAAATATGAGTGTCCTGGAGATCGAAATGCACTTCCACATCCTTGTTATTTTGAAAAAGTAGCTACGGGATTCAAAATTTGAACAAAAACATTATAGAAACCAGACAATAACTAATAAAAACTCATTGATGAACACTGAGAGGACAATCAAGAGCTAACAGGATTGAGTCCCTTGATACTTACTAAGTCTAAATCTATTTTCTTGAGATGAATTTTTTCATAACAAAGTAATCTCTTGTCTGAAGCTTGCAAAACAGCAATAGATTCATCGTCCTTCCTTCTAGTTCGATGAAGAGGAGATGACAGCCGAAATAGATGAGCCATTACACATAATTTGTCTTTCAATCGTAATGCTCTGAAAAATAGACGATGAAATAACATTAGTCGTAAGCAACATACTCATTGGAATAAACTTACTTGAAATCATCAAGATATTGTTTGAATGGTAAATTACAGACGGTGTCACCATAAATGAGCACAAAATCATTTCTAATAACAGCTTTTGAAAAAAGATCTCTCAAAATTTCTCCCAGAGAGAAGTAATGATCTGAAGAGTAGACAAAAATGTTGAAATCTTCGTTACACTGAGGAGTCCAATGTTTATTGACATAAGACCGGATTAAATCAGCATGTGTGGAAGCGAAAATATAAACTTCCTGGATGCCTGAGACTCGAAGGCTATCAAGAGCATATTCAATAACAGGTCGGTTGATTAATGGGACCAAACAGGAAGGATAGTGTTCACCTATGGGACCGAAATAATTATGGAAGGAATCACAAATTAAGACACTTTGATAAACTGTATTCTCTTTTGAAACCATTCTGATAAATTAAATGAGATGATAAAGTTAAAATTTCGAGTAACAGTTAAAAACAATTAATAGGAAAATTATGTCCAAATTAAACAAGCCTAATTTAATTGGAGTAAGTTTAAGAAATTGTTGTTTCATAAATATTATCGATACGAGCAATAGTATTGATATTTCACTGAGCCATCGATACTTTGCCCGATAGTATTGATATTATTCTTGACGCTCGAAAAACACAAGTTTTTCTCGTTTTATGATCTTAGGCCGTGTGAAAGACTTTTGTCCAAACCAAAAAAGATCGTAGTATTTCAGGACAATTGCCTTCAAATTACATGTTGAGCTGACATGCCCTGTGATTTGAAGCATTCACAGTCTGATGTCTTCGAGAAGAAAATCTTTTGAGAAATGAACAAATTCAGTTTAAAATTTAGTTAGCGATCTTAATATAAAATAGTCCAAGCTGTACCTATTCCGTTTCATCTCAAAAACAGTTCCAATTACAAATCTAATTTTAACTTTTTGACAATTTGTGAGATGTTTTTGTTGTTTTGCCTTTTTGTATTTACCTAAAATTAAACAATACTATTCAATATTTTACCTTATTCGTTATTTAAGTCAATCGCCACTTGTGCGACTCATGTATTTTGTTTGTTTCCTCGTTTAGATTATGATCGCCATTTCAATTCATAGCCATGAATCGATAAGCTAAAATTTATCAATTCATGGAAATCTTTTCAATATCATTGATCAGTTTAGGTTTTTGTTTCTCCACATCCCCACTTAAATCCACCAAATCCATCAAATTGTCTACCACTTTTCTGATATGGTCAATATGAACAATCATTAAGAGTTTAGTTAAGGTAATTTGGTAGATTTAAATGGTTAACTAAATGATTAAATATTGGGTGAAAAGTGAGTGCCACAATTTTATGGGTTCACATGTTTTATTCAATAGTCGCCACCATGGGTTTTACTGGGCGCACACCATTCTCCGCCACCATCTCATTCACTTCAACTATTCACACTCTTGTGAAGAAAATAATTGATGATTGTTGAGAAAATCTACAATAGATGATCATTATTATCATAATTGGTACTCATGTGTGTTGCCTTTAATTAAAAAAAAGAAAGACTAGAACAATTGAATCTAGACATCTTCATTCAATGGTTCAATGACAAATTAGATTACCTGAGAATTATGATGATTACTATTTGATGACTTTGACTGATTTGATTGATAGGATAGGAATTATTTGAAAAATGAACTGAATAGATACTTGAATTAATGAATTGCTTGACAAAACTGTATTTGCAAACATACAAGGTTGGATATTCAAATAATGATGTAAAAAAGTCAGTTGGCAAAAAAATAAAGAAAAGGCTTGGTAAAAACTCTTAAACAAAAGATAAGCGAAGAAATGACGAGAAGATAAAAATGGGTTGCTCGATTAGTCATAGTCACCTCATTTTGAGCATTTCTTATTAATCTTTCACAAGAAAATAAATTCTCATACAATCTGATCATCGTAATAACACCAAAGGAATAAGCTTATCGAGTTGCCCGTAAATTTAATTCACAAAACATATTATCAATGTAAGTTACTACAGTCACAATAAACAATTGAAATACAGAGTGGACTTGATGTAACCTCCTCGATGAAAATCATCATAAAATGTGTGTTACATTCATTAAAAATGCACTCATCATTTGGCGATAATTGCTACCAGATTGTCAGTCTATTTAGACAATGAATAGACTTGATTGGAGAGTTTGAAGAAAATAATAAAAGCTTTTTGGATCACCTGAAAGCAATTAAGGCCAAATGGTGAGGACAGTTTCAATAAATGTAACACCAACTTGACTGTAACCGAAAGCAATTTCACTTCTATTAATAAACACTATTTTGATCATTTTATCTCAGGTAATACCCTGAAGGACACCCTGTATAAATTGAGAAGCAAATGAATCTCAAGAGCTTTTCAAATCATCCATTTTCTTGGGTAAAGAGTAGTTACTATTACTCTTTGGTAAAAGGGAGATTGCATCACTTTGTTTATCATTATCAGATAGGATGACGTCATGCTATTTCCTATTGGCTTACGTTGTTAACGATGAAACTTGCACTAGCAACACCTAACTTGAGCGAGTGAAATTAGTGTTGTGTCTTTAGTGTTATTTTGTTGAATTGTTTTCTTTTTTTCTTTCGTTAAATTAATTTTAATCAACTATAATTCTTAGTTCACCACGTAATTAATTTGATTGTATTTTCTTTGGACTGTAAATGTAAAGTGAAAGCAATATTTTTCCCTTCTTCTCCTCATAGTGCAACCATCAATAACAACTGTAGTAGCAACAATCAAGATTTACATCTTTTATTACTCTACTCAAGGCAATTAAAATTCAACTTTGTTTGCTCATACCCAAGGTAATAATTTAGGATTTTCTCTCTTAATGGTTTCAAGTTTAAATTAAATTTGGGTGACATTCCTTCGCCTAAAATCTATTTTCATTTGTATAGATACATGTTTTCAAGAATGTCAAGTGATCCATGTTTTTACTAATTTTCACTCTTTTGTTTCTCTTTTGTTTCTTAGAACCCTTAATTACACGGATGTTTGCTTCGCATGATCAATCATATTTTTGTGATATTTCACAATTTTCGCAAATTGCTTTATGCAATGTTGGTTCCTAAATATTCTAATTTATCTAGTATTTGTTCATCTTTCTATTGGGCCTTTCCAGTTGAACCTGTTGAGCCTTATCCCATATTGACAATCATCTGTTGCACATTTTGTTTTGGAACTGTTGCCATATTAAAAAAGATTTGCCATAAATCGTTAAGAATTTCTTATAAACAAAAATACGTACTTCTTGATAATCCTGAACTTTTGGATAAGCACAAATTTCCACAACCGGACGTAAACAAAACACGGATAAATCTTCCAAAAATATTGAACTACTTTAACGGCAAAAGTAACCTTATTTTCAACATAAAGTACTGTCGGATAATAACGTGTTATCTTCAAAAATTTAATAACTTCGCGAACAATTTTAGTCATCTACTTTACTATCATCTTTCATAATAATCATAACAACCCAACCTTAAGATGGACCACGATCGTAAGCCTCCTCGTTTTATACTTAATTGTGGAAAGAGGCCAACAGACAATAACGATTCTTTGACCACCCCTATCATCGACCCAAACGCACCCTTATCCACCACTGGACCTCATTTTCCATCTTTTGACCATCAAACAGATAATGCTTTTGGTCAATACCTTCAAGAATTATCTCAATCAGTTTCATCAGATGTTTATGAGAATAACAAACAAGAAAAACCAACCAATGCTTCGACAACTTTTCCGCCATTTCCCTCCTTAACTACCTCTTCTATTCCAACACCAGCTATAAAATATAATCATCGGCATCAGCAATCTCAGCAGTCACAATCACAGTCTCAACCTCAACCTCAAATTCAAATTCAAGCTCCCGCTCAATCTGCGACTCAATCTCAACAACATCAACCTCCATGTGCATCCCAAGTCCCATCTCCATCTCAACAACACTCTAACAACCATTCATTGACAAATGGACAGAACAATCATTCACAGCCAACTTCAAACTCAGCTTCATCCCCACCAAATGACGCAAAACCTAGCGTACCATCTTTTCATGTGTCATCTTCATCTGCACATGATTATGCCAGTTATATATCGCCAAAACATGGAGGAATAGATTATATTTCCATTAATTCTAGTCATCCCGTTCCGATACCGGTTACAGTAATAACTACAGGTTGTTTGTCATCAGCATCGTCAACTTCAACGATTACTCCACAATCAAGGATCGTGGAACATAATCAACAATTTATTTCTTCAACGCCACAATCTGTATCAAAATTGTCAATTAACAACACTAGCAGTACAAGTACAGTGGCAACATCTGACGAGGTTCCATGTTCATCATCACGTTCAAATCATTTATCTGTGAGTCGTCGTCTCGCACCTTTTTCCCCTGTCTCGACTGTATCAACTTCATCTCAAGCCTCAACTGTTGGAAAAGAATCAATGCAATATATTTTACCATCAGGATCAGACGATGAACGATCTTCAAGAGCTACTCCAGGTCGCAAGAAAAAGATGGATCCATCTCGAAGATCAAAATTAACGAAAAAAGAGAAATTGGATAAAATAATCAGCGAAGAGAAGCGACTTCAAGCATCTAACACAGCTCTGAAACAGAGAATGAAAGTCATGGAAAATGATTGTAACCTATTACAAAATATTATAACAAATATTTTGATAGATGCTGCCAAACGAAAACAAAGTGAATCTTTGCAATCTTCTCAAGAAAACCAAGGAAATTTGAAGGAATCGTCAACATAACTGAAATTGCTTGGTTTACTTAGGATGCTCAAGTGTTCATGTCTATTGATCAGAACGTTGTCGATATTTGAGTTTCAACTCGTTCTTGATCATTTAGTTATGATCTAATAAGCAATATGCATTCTTAATTTTCCATACTCTTTTTTGACTCTGATTATCATCTTTCATCCATCTTTGCCATAAAAAATATGCAATATTTTTTGTTTTTCTATGTTCAATGTTATAACATAATAATCATTTGGTTTTAATATGTTTGATGTTTTTTGTTTATCAGAATATAACATTATTATAGATTTAAAAATCAATAGCAAATTCCTAGAAATGCCTTTCAACAGAAAAAAAACAAAATGTTTCGATATGTAAAGAAAAGGGTGTAAAATTAACATTGTTAGAGAAAAATTATTATCAAACATAGCCTTAAACCTTTAATTGTTAACTATTTGGTTATGTATGTTGCTAAACATACGTTTTTGTTGTAAATAATATATATTTTATTTATTCTTAATCCATTTTTTGTACAATGCCTTTGTATCAAACAAAGTTCAGCCATTTGAATTGTAATACTTTTTCCGTCCACTGTTCACATTATGTCAACCTTTCTTTTCCATGCCATTTCAATTTGTCCTGTTAAATGGTTGAAAATTTTATCAAAATATCGTTTTATGCTTTATTCATTCACAGTTAACCAAACAACAAGATAGATTCAACATAAATCCTGACAATATTAACATTTGTGAATTAAATACCTTCATAACGCAATTTCACTCTAATTTCTTATTAGTGATGCTCATACGAGTATTTACATCATAACGAGCCTCACCGGATACCGTATTCAAACGAATGCATTTTCACACTTAAAGTAATCTGAATGCTAAATAACAATCAATTTAATAGTCACACATAAATATAAGAATTTAGTTTGTTTCCAAAAAAGCATAATCATCAAGGAATTTTGAGAATATTTTCATGATGATTAGATCCTCTTTTTTTGAAGCTCCTTTGAACGGAAAACATTGTGATCTTATTAATACCATTTCATGTGTCGGTCTTTGAATTGGTTGTTGAAGGTTCATCTTGGTTATGAACAGGCATTGCTATTGATTGAAAGCTTCTATCCTCATTGGGTGTCTTCCTCACAAAAATGAATGCCAAAACACTTACCACATAACTAAAACTGACCATTGAAACGATTGTTATGATAAAAATGTGAAATAAATTCATCAAAGCTTTATCAAGCTCGTTGATTGACCCACAATTTGGTCCAGTAAATCCAACTATACATGTACACGTATAATTTTTAAACAAATCAGTGCAGGTTCCATTGTTTAAACACGGATTTGAGTCACATTCGTTAACATCAATATCAGTTTGGTTATCCATTTGTTGTTATCCATGTAATTTACTAATTAGATCTTTTGACCTTAATTGTTCTTTTTACCTTACTTTTCTTGATAACATCTGACTACATCTTAAATAATCTTTAATTCAATTGTTGTCTCTATCGTATACTGTCAGTCGGATATTTTCACTCCATCACAAGTAATTTCAAGCTAAAGTCATTGCATCAAAAAATTTGCACAATTTGTCCGTTTCGAAGCAAAAAAATCTTAAAAACTAATTAACATGCAAATTCATAAATTGTTGAATATTTAATGAAAAAATGTGTCTAGTAAATTGATTCATTTTTTCAAATCATTTCAATAAGTTTTTCACTAACAATTGTAAATCTGGTTCTCGTTAGATGGAGCAAGATCTTTTAATATGAAGCTTTGAAACAATCAAATTTTAACGTTTGATTTAAGATCGATTTTATTTGAATATTCAAATTGTCAATAAATTGAAATAGCAAATCATCAAATAATCTTGGTTTTACGACTTTGAGATAACGATATGGACACGAAATTATGATTTTTTGTCTCAATTGTGAATCGATCTTTTATCACAAATATCGATACTGATGTCGAGTATTTGTCGATATATCGGGCATTTGTTGATACAAATTGATATATAAACTCAACTCTCTACATTTACTCAAATTATCATAAATTTTGTTTAATTTCAAAAAAAACATTTTTAATTTTTACTGCAAATTTAACCCAAAAATTCACCTGATTTTTGTTCAATCTTCTCCTTCCTCTTTCCCTCTATTTGCTCTCTGCTGTTTGTTTCTCATTTTACCTTAGTGTTTTACATAAAATTACATTTATAACCTGATTTACTATCAAATGTGTAAACTGTTTTATTCTTATAATTTGTATTGATCGGTAATGGCCATAAAGCTCTCCTCTAAGGAAGCAAATAAAAGAGTTTTCCTCAATATTTTTAATTTAACAACCTACCCGGTTGATTTGATATGGATTGATTATCAAGGGAATGAACAAATATATGCAACATTGGTGGGAGGAACACGTATAGACGTCGACACATTTGAAACGCATCCTTGGATATTCCGAGAATCTCGTACCAAGAGACAGTTAGCTGTTTTTGAAGGAACACCAGGTTATCCGAAGAAAGTCTTACTACCTAAAACATACAAGCCAACCACTAGAAAACCTGTATTTATCACCAATCCAATCGAAAATCTTCGTGACATTTGTTTTCTGGCATTGAAAAGAACGCTTGCATTGAAGAGGAAAACGGAAAACTTAGAACCATTCGATTTACCTTTGGAATTGAAAACAGGCTATGAAATATTCTTGAAACGCTGCGTTGCTTTATAACAACAATAGTGTTTTTAGCTTGATATTTATACTTTAAATTATTTTTTACCCAATATTTTGAATTTGCATTTTCCTAGTTTTGGATTTTTGGCCTTCTTTTTTACCTATTATTTGTTATAATGTTTGACCCTCTAGAATACCAGGAAGGATCAGTTCCCTCCTTATTTAAATCCTTTTCTGCTTCAGCTTTACTGAATTTACTTGAGCAAGTAAGTTTTTTTTGCGTCAATTCTGTTTCATCTCATTAATATCATTTTTATTTTGTCATCTACAGGTATCTGGTGAACAGAAAGATCTTGTTATTAGTCCTAGCCTTATACAACCGTTTGATATGATCATAAATTTTTCCAAGTTAAAGGTATTTTCCATTCAAAATCATTTATCACTTGAAATTTTAGCTTCAATTAACAATAGCTAAAGATTCACAATTCTTTATTCAATTTTCTTTGCAGGAAAAAGGTGTCCGAAAAATATTCAAATTGGAAGATGGTCCCACTGATGGTGTCTTGGAAAGGTGCAAATTAAATTCTAACCATGCAAATGAATTACTCTTTGAGGACCACTCTTTAAAAACTATACCTTAAAATTTATCCTTGAATAAGTCAGTTTTACAAAAAGAAATCAATTTCCTTGAGTAACTGCAGAGTAATTCTGAGCCTTAACTATCAATTTTACTAATTCATTTATTTTATTTTCAGGCGTCTATTTATTGCTAATAATGATGCAGCATCTACTCGTATTATTTGCAATCAGATTAATGCTGAGAAAAATCAAAGACCAACAGCCAAATATTGGATTGCTTTTGTTCCAAAAATTGTAAGTCGCCATTCTTTATAATCGTCTATTGCAACTTTCTGAAAAAATCTTAATTTACTCTTATTGGTATTCTCATTTATAGACTAAAGTATGCGATCTCTTACTCGAAGAGCAAGGAGTTTATGGTTACGTTCATATTTTGGAACTTCCATTGAGTTTTATTCCACTCGATACTGACCTTTTTTCATTAGAACAAGAAAGTATACATGATATGCTCTATCTTGTAAGTTTATTTTAGTTCATCCATTACTATTGTGCTAATATATTTGAACCTAACTGTATTTTGATATTTTTCGCAGAGAAAAAACCAAACTGCAATATCAAATATTTCAAGAGCTATTCAGCAGCTCTTTTCTATTCTTGGTGGATGTGCAAAGTTTACTGGAGTCGGTAAATCAACTCATATGGCATTTAAATTGTCCGACGTTAATGGCTTGGCTAATGGAGTTGCACGTCCGAAAATTGATCATCTCATTGCAATCGATCGAGAAGTCGACTATTATTCTCTCCTTCTATCATCTTTAAATTATCAAGGATTATTAGATGAGACTTTTCAAATTAAATGTGGTAATTTATCAACTTGACCAATCAAATAGCACAAAAACTTAACGTGATTCTCTATTTCAAACATTTCAACAGCTAAAATTGAAATACCAAGTGATATTGCTGCCAAAGAAGGTGTTCAATTGCGCAAATATTTAGCTCAAAGCTCAGATCCAATATTTAAACATATTAGGGACAGCCATCTGTCCATTGCATCGGCTGATCTCAAACGAATTGCTGCAGAATTGAAAGATAACATGCCGAAAAGTCAAGAGATGAGCATTCAAGAGATGAAAGATTTTATCCAAAAAGAGCTGAAGAACAAAAAAGCCTCACAAAGAGCTCTTAAGCTTCGTAAGTAACCTTTGACCATTCTAATCTTACATGTTTTACTCATATTTATAACCTAATTTTGGTGTAATCCTTCTTTGGTAGATATTTCATTGTGTGAAATCATAATGGAAAAAAAGAAAGAGAATGAATTTGGACGGCTATTGACTCTTGAACGTAACATCATGGAAGGAGCTGAATATCGTGATTGTGTAAATCAGTTGGAAGAGTTGATTATCTGTCAAAAATCTCCTCTCATTGCTTTGAGATTATTGTGCCTTCTTTCCCTGAGCAACGATGGAATAGCTTATAAAGATTACCATCAACTAATGAAACTGTTTCTTCACAGTTATGGCCATCAACACTTGATTACTATTTGCAATCTGAACAGACTTAAATTACTATATAGACAAGGAAATAAAAGCCTTCTGTCAAGTCCCAACACATCAATGACCAATGTAATTAACCAGAGTAAGGCTGCTGCAATGTCTGCTCTTCCTAAGCGATCTCAACTTCGTAATTTGGTAAGAAAATTTAATCTCACTCCTGAACCATCAGCTGAATCCAACTCAAAAGACGCTAGTTTTGTTTTCGGTGGTAATTTTGTTCCAATCGTTTACCGTATCACCGAAAGTGTTTTAAATGGTTCCTGGGTATCCTTGAAAGAGCAGCTTTCTCCTTTATCCAAATTTATAACTACTTCATCGTTTACCGAGAAAACAACCGGCGGAGCTAAACCTGTTATCGCTGTTCTAATGATTGGTGGAATAACTTATGCCGAAGTTTCTGCTCTTAGATTTTTAAGTCAACAGAAAAATTTTGATCTTATCATTCTAACCACTAACATGGTTAATGGGGATAAATTTCTAACCAACCTAATGGCTCCATAATCAAATCGAAAAGATTTCTCATCAAATGCGAATCTAATGTGAATTTTTTTTATTCCAATCTTTACTTTTAAAAAGCAAAGAAAAAACAACCTGGACTTATCATGATGATTTTTTATGCGATTTATCCTTTATAAAATCTGTTTACTGCCATAAATTGTGTAAAAGTTAACTTTTTTGCCATAAATTATGGATTGATTGTTTTAACACAAACAAATAAAATCGATAAACCTATTTAGTTAAATATGCGAAAGTAAATTGAGTTGACATGCGAGTTTTGAAAAGATACTCGTTTCTACCTTTCGATTGTTTTTTAGTTTAAGAAAATAAATTGTAATGATTTTCTCCTTTTATTATACATGATGATTGTATTGTTTTTCATTAAAATTTGATTGCTAAATTGATTTTTGAATTATTGGGTCAACATGAATCAACTATTGCGATTTTTACGAATGTACAGCAATAGTTTTGCAGACGTTTTATTTCAATATTTAATTGTTTGAAAATTAGATAGTTAATATATTTTACAATAAATCAATTATTAGCTGTGTTCATGGTAACCACGAGCTTAATCAATTTATTGCAAGAAAAATCTGTAACAATTCAAAATGTTGAATATTGTCGTGTGAGGAAGAAGATTATGATAAGTTTATTTGCCTAACTTGTTTTGAATTTTTGGTAAAATCAATGATGAAGTAAACGATTAGTAAATAAGTAAATTGACCCAATTACCATGTAATGAAATTTGGAAGATCTCGTTTGAATGCTTTTGGATGGCTTGTGAATTACATTAATCGTAATCTTAAACTTTATCAATCGGAAATTTCAACAAAATTAGTTTTATTATTATAATTTTAGGAAACTCAGAATTTTCATTCAACTCCATTATACAGAAGCTTTGATTAGCGCTCCTTACATTTGCGGAGTGTTTGAATTTTTCATGGGCCAGACTACTGCAAGTCAGATCCATTTTAGTATTTTTTTAATAAAATTTGTCCACTCACAAGAATTCTGTCCATCAGATAATCAAGAATTTGAACAACCAGTTTATTAAATAAGATTGCTTGGATGAACAGCGACACCTTATTGAGAAAAGATTAAGTTTTTGTGTTTGTGTTTGTATTTTATACATTTTCATTTCGTTTCAGCATATTTATAGGTTACACTGTCACTTAATTATTTAGGTGAGTTTATCTGAATTTTGATTTTAATTTTGTATTTTATCATTTGTCAACCCTAATTAATCTCTTTTGTATCATCCTCTTGTCAAATTTCAGTTTCATTTCATCTTGTTTCAGCCACTGTTTAACCCGGAAATCAATCTGTCTAAACGTAAGTCTTTATTTCTCTTACTCATTCGCCTAATATTATTGCTCTCTAAACTTGCATTAATTTGTTTTTTATTTGTATTTAGATATATTGTTATTGATAAATATTAACTTAAGTTTTAATAACCGATATGTTATTTGGATCAAGATCAAGAATAGTGTTCCATTCTCGTCATGAATTTTATGACATGTCATTAACCCAATATGAAATCCAATTTTAGATTTTTTGACCAAAATCGGCAACAGTTAAAGGGAATACGTCAGCTCACAAAGTCTCAATTGCCTCAAGTAAAAGTCCCAGCTCTAGCGGTTAACATATTCCATGCCAACCCAATCAAATCTGATTAAACTTAAACTCATTTAACCTAGCCTAGTATGAAATAACCTAAGCAAATGCATGTATGATTCTAATTGCTCTAACTAAACCCAAAATTTTCAGCAGCTTGCATGTAGGCTTAGCAAGCGTGGACTTTGCAATTGAGAAAGCGAATTGACGTATTGCCGCTAACTGTCACCGATTGGGCTGGACTTAATATCAATTTAATGAATTTTTTTATTATTTCTGGTTCCGAGATTATCTTGACATGCGTTATCTATGCTTAAACTCTTTCAACACTTGTCAACTCATTGATTTTCACCACCAATATTATCTTTATTCTGATTACCTGTGTTTTCTTCTTATTTATTGTCTAGGTTAACCCATAAAAAACTCTGAGATGTATGCTAATTATAATGACTCCATGGAAGCTGGTATTCAGCAACCAAACATGGATCAATTTGATGCTTTCTCCAACAAATCAGTTCGACTTGCTTTCATTCGCAAGGTTTACGGAATATTAAGTTTACAATTAGCTATTACCATGGGCTTTGTTCTTGCGTTCACATTATCTGATGAAGTTAAAGGCTTTGCTGTGAGGAATTCATGGATGCTCTTTGTGGCCCTTGGCTTTTCTCTCGTCTCATTGATTACATTGGCCTGCTGTGGAGTTCATCGAACATATCCGTCTAATTTAGTATGCCTTGGCATATTTACATTAGCTGAATCGGTTATGATTGGTTTCACCACGGTTTTCAGAGGAACAGAAATTGTATTATATGCCGTTGCAATAACTGCTGTGATTGTTATATCGCTAACGCTATTTGCTTTCCAAACGAAAGTCGATTTCACAGCGTTTAATGGTATCCTATTCGTCTGTCTCATGGTATTCATGTTATTCGGTATTCTCATGATATTCATCAAGGGCAAAACTATGATGCTTATTTACTCGGCCCTCGGAGCTCTTCTATTCTCAGCATATTTGGTTGTTGATACGCAAATGATTGTCGGAGGAAATCACAAGCTTCAATTCTCTCCAGAAGACTATATTCTTGGAGCAATCACATTATATGTCGATATCATCAATATTTTCATCCACATTTTGCAACTCCTTGACATAGCAACTAGAAGTTAATCTCATTATCTAATTGTTGAATTCAAAATCAGCAGATCAAATTGAGAACAACGTGAAACCACCAAAAAATCCAAAGTTTAATTAAAAAGGGCTATTTATCGATCAAGCTTTGCGTACAAATATTAAACATGAACAAAAAATTAAGTCGTTAAATCAATTGATTAAAGGCAAAGCCTCAAATTCATCCTAAAATTCATTTATAATTATCCCAATTTTCAATGACCAAAACAGTCTGAAAGTTTGCGTTATTTTACATCAATCATTAAAACTTTATTATTCCATTTCAATTCATACTGTATATTTATTTTCGGTAGCTTGATTAGTTCATTATTCAAGCTGGAAACATGCATGTAAATGAACCTTTTCATTTGAGTAATTAAAGGTGATTTTTAAGCTCAATTGCAGACCCTAGATGACGCTTAATTGTTAAAATGTTTTCATTTGTGATTCACTCAATGCCATCTAGCGTACAAAATAAAGAACGCATTTTAATTAATCACAAATAGTGATCGAGTTATTGGCCCAAGATTAAATTTTAATCCATCTTATAAACTAACTAAACTTGATCTAGACTTGTGATTAGCAAGCTTACTCTTGACAGATTGAAGGCTTGCAATCCTTTTCATGATAGCAAATGAAATAGCAAGAGATGCTAACCAAAACGGTATCAGTTGCTATTATTTACAGTTTGATGCTACTCAATGTTGTGATCAATTTTTTACTGGCTCTTCATTTGGTGGATCACAAATGAAAAATGATTAGCATCAACATCTCTAAACAATTTATATAATAAATTGTACTCCTCACCTTCACCAATCATGGTTTCGTTTAAGCAAAGAGTATTCAGGATAATCGGAGCAAATTTCTGATCGTTAAAATTGAAAAAGAAAGAGGAAAAAGGTGAAACAAAAAGTGGAAGAGTTTAAGGAATCCTTTCCAAGCTACTGACAACACACTGAACAAGATAAAGGAACCCAATTTCGGTTAGTATCTCTGTTATTTCATTTTACTCTTTACTTTTTTCCTTTCTACCTATTCTTTCCTCTCTTCCCTGCCTTTCTATCTAACATCAGTTCTCTTCTTTACTCCTTCTTCATCTTTAGAGTATGTGTATTGTAAGCCAGTAATACCAGCTGATTATGGAAGAGAGTGTGAGAGAAGTATAAGAGAGATTGAGTGAAGACAAAAGTTAGAAGTATATTATACTCTGTGCTGTGTAAGAGAGAATGAAAATATTCACTGAGTTTTTTTTCAAAAAAAAAGTTGATTGCTCCTTCCGGCGTGTGATTGATTGTTAATGGTGATGTAGCTGTTGTGTTGTTGTTGTTGTTTTGGTTGATGTGTTGATGTGTATACATGTACACACACACACACAAACACACACACAGATACACTCACACATTGTTTATGTCTTTTTGTCTCTCCACTGTTTTTACCATTATTATAAAATCTCCTTCTCATCGTCATCTTTATTATTAATTTTATTGAATATCGACACCAGCAACACCAAAAAGATCAACTTTACCATTATCACCATCATCGTCATCATTTTCGTCAACAACTAACCCATCAACATTGTTCATAAAGCAGCAAACAAAAGGCGCTTTTTTGTCCAACCTTTACCTGGTTTTTGTTTTTGTTTTGTTTTTTGCGGATATTGCACATTACATATTCCAGATTTACCTTACCAGTGGAAACTCTGAGGAAATTGAGGACAAAATCCAAGCAAACATGATGAAGCAAATGGTTTACCTGCTGATTGGTTTCTGTGATGATTGTAGGATAATCAGCGATAATGTTTATTGTGTTTCCAGTGATTTTCAAAATCTAACTCTTCGGTGATGATGCTGTTTCTGTGATAATCAACTAATCTTTTTATTTCCACACCACAACTATCATCAACCAAAAGAAAAAAATTCATCAACAAATCATCTTTGCCTCGGTAATTTACTTTCTCATATGCAATTTTACACAAAACCTTAAAATTGATGATGCAAACTAAAACTTTGTTTCTCTTCCTCTCTACAGTTATCTTCATCTTCATTATTGATTATCTTGATCTCCTCGCCAAACATTTGATATACATTAACACACTACCTCACTATAAAAATTTATCAACATGATACCTTTTACAACATGCATGAAATTCAACCGGAAACGTATGAACCGTGGATCGATAAGTAAACAACAGCAACAGCAACACCAGTTTAGTCAACAGCAACACAGCCAACAACAGCAACCCCAATTAGTTATAATCCCAGCCGATCAGTCAACTTTGGCCCCACCAAATATCAATCTGGTTACAGATATCCAAAGTGTTCCACCCTTTCTCCAATGTCCAGAGAATCGTTTATTGTTAACATTACGGAGATCCAAGGCTGTCCAACGATCCATTCACATTGACCCAATTGCCCTACTTGATTACAGTTATCATGGAGTTACCGATCGTTTTCTTGAAAATGCTTCCAATTGGAGCTTCAATTCATTTACATTGGACACTTTGACCGGAGGTCATTCCCTATCAAGTCTCCTTTTCTACCTTTTCAACAAATATAATTTCATTTCTGAATTTAAATTAGAGATCATCAATGTATGGAAATGCTTCCGTAAGTTTACATTATTGCCAATAATGTCCAACCCTACCCACAACCTGACCTGGGCTAACCTGAGTAAACCTTTACAGCCACCTTTTCCTCTAACATTTACATTTACCATTCAAATTATTCAAGTAACCAACCTATTGTTGAACAATAAACGTAACATCACCGCCATCATCATTGCCATCACCATTATGGCTATTATTATCATATTTTTCAATATTATTCATTATTCTTTTCTTTTCTACCATTTCTTGGTTAATTTTTGCGTGACAAATCGAGAAAACAAAGCTGATTGTTTAGTTATGATGTTAACTTAAGTTGACATTGATGATATTTCACTGAACAATAATTTGACATATACACAGTCAATGGTATAAACAGGGAATAGATATTCACATTTTTATTATATATTGAAGAATGGTTAAACAGCAAGAAGATGGAGAAGAAGAAGAAGAAGAAGCAAAAAATCTAAAAACAGGTCAGGCATAATAAATTGAACTAAATGGTGAAGATTGTCAGATGATGATGTTGATGAGATTTGCGTCAACACAACATATATAATACATTGGATTCAACCTCAACCTTTTATTTTTCACTCATTTTTTACTCTCTCTATTTGATCATCATGTTTAACTGTTTAAATTATTATATATTATTGTCTTGTCTAATCAATTTAACTCACTGATATCAAGTCTGAAAGACCTGTTAATTTGTGGTCTTTAATTGATTTTCCCATTCATTATCAACATACATAAACATCTCATGATGATCATCATGATTAACCCAATATGTTGTAAACTAGACTCTTTTAATTGAGAGCTAAACTGTCAATATTGATGGATTCAATTAGGTAAAGGTAAGGAGATGAGCAACAGTAATAATAATAATATCTATCAGATTATCGTCAGATTTATTGCTATTATTATTGCCATTTTAATGGTGAACAATCAATAAGTCTTAAGACCGAGAAAACTGAGTAAAAATAAATTGTTGTTTGGTAACAAATCAGTTGTAATAATTTAACCATTTTCCTTGTTCCATGCAATTTAAACTGACATTGTATTAAATGGAGTAAATTTGAAAAAAAAATTAACTACAAAATTATACAAATTTAAAGTCAACCAGAATTGGTAAAAATATCATCAGTAATTTGATAGCAACAATAAGAAACATGTTTTGACTTGATAATATTGAAACAGCCAATTTAACCGAATTTGAGAAATTAAACCAACAATTGGAAATAAACTATCAAAATGAATTGTTGAAGCCATCGTAAATCATCAACAACAATTTACAATCAATCAAAATGAATCGATACCATTAATTGACTTGCAATACAAAACGTGTTTCATAGACATTTGATTTGTAATTTTAATTCACGTTCTTCATCACTTCCCTATTGGATTCACCAAATGATTGATATTTAATCATTTTCTGGTCAGCTTTACATGAAGAAGACACTTAACAGTCTTTTCACACTTACCAATTGATAGTCAATAGTTGACCAGTCAATGAGAGAGAAACCCAATCGAACCCATTTCCCATCAACTCATAAAACCTGCTAATTTTAAAACATTTAACATGTAAACCTTCATTATCCTTTAACCAGAAAATCCCGCTTCTTTTCCATGAAGTTATCAAAAGATTCAGAGGTCACCTTCACTAGTCCCAAATGATATAAGCTTCAATCTTTATCAAAATTAATGTCGAATTAGTGAGAAAATCTTTTTTTTTGCCTCAAAAAATGTAAGATCAGTGTCCAGCCATTAAACCAATTGATGGTTCACCATTAAACCAATTAAACCAATTCACCGATACAAAATCAATGTTGATAAAAGTTGGGTTATTGCCAGTAAAATATAAGCTATCGATTAACGCTATTATCTGTGTCAACAATCTTTACCATTTACCTCAATAACATTCCTAATCCAGGGAATTTTCAAATCACCAAACATTGAAGTTGAACCAAAAATTGATTACATCCATCAAATGATGATTTGATTGCCAAGGTTGATTGGAGTTGCTAATTTGTATGCAAACCCAATGACCAAAATTTTGAAAATGCCTCTTAATTTAACTCTTAAATGACACTCAAAATTGCTTATTGAGTAAACCAAGTTGCTATCAATGAACTCAGTCTTTGTTTCTGGTTAACAACTCTGAACAATTGTGAATTTTCATGAGCCGGATTAGCAATAGTTACTTGATTGTGTTTTAGATGTGTTTCCCTTGTAAGCTTAAAAATAAACAATGAAAATAAACTGGAAAAAAGCTACAATTTTTAGGTCTTTTCTTCTTCTCAGTACTTTATTGGTTACATTAGGCGAAACATGATAAAACAGAGAAACAGACAGAATTTCATGATAATCTTTTATCCCAATTTTACAACCTTCAGTACAAGTGATTAAACAATGATTAATAATAGTCGAAGAAAAGGATTATCGATTTTTAAGTGACATTAAAAACACTATTCCATTGAAGCCTTGTTCAACTTTCCAACCTAATTAGCTGATTCATTTTACCAGATTATCATGAAATTGTTGAAAAGTTAATTTTCACCTCAATCCATTGATTAATCAAATTTTCTCTCCTCTCTATTCAACTATCAAAATTATCACTTTGTAAACCTGAACAAAGCGTTCAACATGAAAATTGAATCATTTCTTATCTCATTTACTGTTTACCTTTTCGTGTAAATCCATTTAAATAACAATCTTATATACTTTATAAATGCCTATTTTATATGGATTTATATATTTATTTATTAATATCATTATTCAATCCAATGATAGTAACCAAACAATAATGGTTTTAATGATAACAGATATTATCTACTCTGGTTAATGGTACAATTAATCGGGTAAAAGTAAAAAAAAGGGAAAATATAAAAACACAAAAGTGGATCCAATTTTCTGGTTATTTCTTGCTCTCAACCCAAACATTTGGGTTTACACTTATAAGCTAATAATTATAATACGCTATTTACCTAAAGGTGTCTTGATTCACTTTCAATTTTGTTTACACAATCAATTAATTGTCAAATTAATTGTAAACACAGCAAAAGTTACCAGTAATTCACATTAACCCACTTTAATTACATTGGAAACAAAATTGTTTTTCATCATCTTCTTTCATTGTTGTCTATTCCCAAATAAACCAGAATCAATTTTGATGCTTAATTGTGATGAACATTTGCTTATTGTTTAATGATCATCAAGCCCAATAAGAATCAAAGCGACTTTTGACATTCTGGCGATATTTAAATCGCTATTTCAAGTTTATTAATATTTGATGAAATTTCCAGTTTCAAGATTGCTAAGGATTTGTACAGGAAAATTCATTATTCATTATCTAAGCTTTTCTAATGTCGCCAGAAATTCTTGTTTCATGTTATTTGTAGTCAACTATTTACATGTCATCATAGTTGAACAATTATCTGAGCCAATTGTAATTAATTGAAAGAATTTTTCAATGAAATTCTTTCACAATCAACAACAATTTTACATTAATTAACAGTTTCTTGTGATTGTTAACCAAACACAAGTTGTTTTGTTTGCTTCAGTTTTTAATGATCAATAAGAGTTGATAGTTGATTGAAAGGTAAAACTTGAGTTTGTCAGAGTGACTTTTTTGAGCCACTGAATTGAACAAAATTGACTTGAATTAAAGCTCAGGTTGAATATTGATTAACAAAGGTTCTTATGATTCGTTTGAATGGGTTTATTAAAAAAAACTTCAAGATTCATTACACATAAATAGGTTTACAATGGCTTTACAAATTCAACATGAAAGTGAAGGTGTATTAATAGCATACAATAATGCACTTCTAGTCTTTTACAGAAGAAAAACTTATTCAGAATTAGTTATTGAAACTTTGCATTCTTTCATGATTAAAGTTGATTGCAACCAAATTTTCATATCCAATATTGTGTATCCAGTTGAGCTGAAACTCAAGCAAACCGTGAATGATCCCAGATGACCTGAGTTGCTTGGTGTCAAGGCTGGAAACTGAAACTTTGATAACAAACGAACTCAATCTTCAAGTTGACCTTTTCATGAGAAGATGAAAATTTCCAATTAATCCATTTTCAATGGCAATTCTGAAACAAATTTCATCAAAACTTTTCCAGTTGAATTGTGAAAACGTTTGAAAAACTTTGAGATTATTGAGATTATTCAAAATTTCAACATTCAATTGAATACGAACCTTGAAGATTGTGCAAAGACTAAACTCACAGATGAAAAGGACGATCTTGATTACTGTGACATTCATGAGCATGATATCATGTAAAATTTGATGGAGTTGAAATGCTCTGAGCATAAAATATCAGGGTTTAACTTTTGTATCTGTTATGATATTTATAACTAATTAGAAAGCACAAGAAAGCAATTTACTTTTCTCGTTTCCTAATCCATTATCCAATTTAACCAAGTTAACGGTTGATCTAGAAATAATTAATTTCCAGTAATTATTATCATTTATTATTGCATTGATTTAATTAAACAAACCCTTTCCTTTTTGTCTTGATTGTTGTTGCTCGTCCTTTTATTATTATTATCAGTTTACCAATCGTTAGCATTTTCCTTTTCATCTGCAACTTTCTGTTGAAATTAGATTTCCTTTTTTCATCCATAATTGAATTTATTATTAAATTAACACACACAACAAACTCATGATAACAGAAACAAAATAATGTTGAAGAAAACATTTGCTACAATTAATATTATTTAATAATAATGATAATGTTAATGATAAACGAAGCTCATTTTCGTTGAGCTTTTCATTCCAATTGATGCCATTAGTTGACAATATAATTTACCTTTTTTTACTTGGTTTTACATTCAATTCAATAAACTGTAACAATTATTGAAGGAAAGAAAAGTAGAGAGAAAAATTTAATTTAATTGTCAACATTTTTCATTATTTTACGTTCCTTTTATCATCATATCCAAAGGCTAAAAAATGTATTTCATTTTTGGGGAAAAAGTTTCATATTGAAATAGAT